ATTAGAAGCACATTGAGGCGGTCCGTGTACGTTCCGTTTCATCCCACAGGACAAACTGTCGAAACTCTTCGAACGATGAATCAAAAGTTTCACCCCTGTCGGTGAAAAGATCGCATATTGTCGTGTTTCCACCGCGAAAACAGCGTTAAATTATCCATGAAAGCATGCGAATATTTAATAACACGTTAACGTGTGTTTGACATTTTAATAATCTCGTCTCTAACGAGACGAGACTGTCGCGATTTCGTTTATAATTTTTTAAAATTCATCTTAAAATTGATATATAAGTTGTTCAACATTCGCCGGACATGTTTCATATCACGATCGAATTTTTAATGTTTGAAACCAATTCTAAAACGTGCACGAACGTTAAATTTTAAAATGCAAACTTAGAATGTATTTATTTGGCAGAGTTATACGACGAAAGTGCTCGAGAATTAACAAGTAATTACCTTCTATGAACATAACATGTGCGTGCAAGAAACATTTTGAAATTAACACGCATAATTAATACGTAGTTTAATGTATAATTGATACGTGATTAATAATCTTCGTGATGTATCTCAACTATAAAATTCACAAATCGACTGCGTTATACATGCAGTTCCAATTGATCTCACGCTTGGTAATCGTTACAATTAATAATTCGATTTAATTGATTTTCCTTGTTGTTGTCGATGTTTTATTGTATTTTGTTAAACCTCGTCGGATCCACTTGACAAAATTCATATTTAGCTACCAAATTCACTCTTCCTAATTCGAATACTTTCGTCGGCCTTCGCTCTATATCCTTGTTTCACTCGCCGCAAAACTAGGCCAAGACGTTAGATTAATCTCTCTCCTTGGGCGTGTCCGTCCCTTTAAAACCAACCGAGTTTTTCGTCCGTCTGAAAACGGGACTGCTCCTCCTCGAGAGATCCGCATAATCTTCCAACCTTGCTGCAGCCCGACCCTCCGCGCACCCCCGAACTCCCAGAGTTCGTTATCGACGATTCGATTTCGCGGCTGATCGCTCGCATTTATCGTCGATCGGTGGAATTTTTCTGCGGACGTCATCCGGCAGATAGCCGACTCTCCGGCTTAGAAGCAAAAATCGGCAATGGATCGGAAGGGAAATAGACGTCGCCGAATGAGATACATTCGTCCAATTCGTCTGCACGCGCGAGGCGAGAGGCGAGACGAAATCCGATATTTTAATTTCGAGAGGGAAATAATTCTCCCGGTCCGGGTCGATACACGCATCCGATTAAAATCGAAGTTCGCCTCACCCGAGAAAGAGAGAGAGAGAAAGAGAGAGAGAGACCGTTAGCCCTTGGACAACCAGAAATTGCAATTTTTCACTGAAACTGATCCTCGAGAAATCTCATTGGAGTTTCAATGGGCCGCTCTTATCGGCGTTATTACTCCGTCGTTCGAAAACTATCGTTTACCTCGCTTTGAAATCGAATCTCTTCCTCGTCCATTTCGACAAGCCTCGCCGAAAGAGAAACGACGGGGGAAGATTTGGCAGTGAAACAACACGCAGGTGAACTAACGGGAGAATATCGTCGAATGTTTCTTCTCTTATTTTTTTTTTTTGGAAGTGTTCGTTCAACCTTCTGTTTAACGTTGTGCAACTTGCAAGTTGTATAGGGCAGCTCACGAAAATGTTCGAACGTGTTAAAATATGTATTTTGGCATTTTATTAACATTGCAACGAGACGCGATCGTTATGATTACACTTGGTAACAAATTTGGGATTAATTTGGAAATATTTGCACTTGGTAGAAAATTAATATATAATATGAATTACATCGAAGCTTGGTAATATAATGAACAATAGAATTGGTGATATAAGTTCTTTAGAATTTAAATAATTCTGTTCATTGGATTTGCCTCGAATTTGGCCATGTTCGTAAAATTTCAAAATTCATAAATTCGTAAAGTTTCCGACTGCATTACACCGGCGATTTCATCGATAAAACGCTGCTGTAAATATTGGATCTATAAAGTTCCTCTCTGGAAAAATTATGAATTTTTCGGCCGTTTCGGGCGATATTCAATCGCCGCGATACCACCGAAGTTTTATTTCTACAAAAAAAAAAACCGGAGCTTTCTTCTTTATGGAGCAAGCTTTGTACATTATCGATAGCGACGCGTCATTCAGAACAGAAATCCGATCAGATACGATTCGCGGAAACACGTTTCGCGCGTGTCTGATTTTAGATTACAATGGTCCAATCGATAGTGGACATAATTTATTTAACCGTTACACGTGAACCGAGTAACCGTGACTACGAATTAAACGTACATTGTGTCCGAGATCTCGTCAAAAACTCGTCGAGGTTGTTTCGTCCACGTAGAGAATTCGGTAAATCCACCGGTGTGTTCACACACACGTGGACTCGATTAAGTAGATGAAGACGTGCGTGTGCGGCCATGCCTTGAAAGGGCCAACGCGTGGATAGCATTTCTGTCGTATGAAATTTTTTCAACGCGTTGCACTATCGTTATAATCGTAAAAGACTACTCTCAGCTCTCCGGTTCGTTATCTGAACGCCGTTCGACTCTGTTGCTCGTCATTAACCGACATATCATCGCGTAATATCTTCCGGAGAATGTGCATTGCTTCGCGGTGATACAGAATCTCGTTATCCAACGCGGTGGAGAAGGTTGAACGAAGAGGTTTTTGTAAAAATAAGTCTATAGTTTAATTTATGCAACGACAGAATGATAAGAGTGTTAGTCACTGCTATGTAAGAAGTAAGTTTTATAAATATAGTGTGCGTGTTGCACGGAATATTTATTAGGTAAATGTCGAGTGTATTCTGATACATATATACACACACGCATATATAAATGAAATTTCCTCTAATGTGGAAAGGGATCTGTGCCCTGATTTATGGTTGAGTGAAAATTAAGCGGGCAGTCTTCACCGTGGTCCCACAATTTCATGATTTAATTAGAGACAGCTCTGTGGTATAATCGCAGCCACATTTTCAGTAATTGTGCAGTGTAACGAATATTTTGTTGAATTATATTGGAACGTGTTAACCTTTGGATAGCGGTGACGGGATTATTTATATAAATAATCAATTGACGCGATTCATCATTTTACCTTGCATTAATTTAATTAGTTTCAGTTCACTTTGTGAGAAGACTGCGGATTTTACTGTCGTTTATAAATTAGATTGCTGTATTGTTCCTGGTCAGGCCGATGGTTCCATAATCCTTTCTTCTTATTAGAAAATATGGGAAATTTAATTATTTAGGAATTATTCAGAGAATTATTCGTATCGTTCGTTGGTCAGTATGTGAAACATCGCCTCACAATCCAATTTTCTTATCACTGGTACAAACTGTTGTTAATTAGAATGGACTTTTATTACGAACATCCTCCGGTAATTATACTGTTTATTGCTTATTGTGGAATATTGTAGACAATTCTACTTCTTGTCTCTACTAATCTCTACTCTCTACTAATCTGATCTTCTTTCTAGAAAGCATAGGAAACTCGTTCGAAACTTAAAACCGTATATACTTAAAATTCTACGTCCATAGCTAGAGAACTTAATTATTCAAAGGACTGAACTATTGCTACTCTGCTATTGTCGCGGAGATTGAATTATTCGGCACTCTCACAAAGAGCGGCATCACGGTTTGAATGGAGTCTTTTCGAGGAAAATGCTCGAAAGCACGCGCAAGATTTACGCAAGTAGCCGAAGCTACGTTTTTCCACTGGGAATTCTCATGCTTCTTTCGCGTAAAACCCGCGAGAGCACACGGTGTGAAAAGGTTTCGTTCGAGCTCTCCTCGATTTTCTTTCTTCTCCTTTTTTCTTATTTTTCTTTTTTTTTTTATACTTTTACGTCTCCCTGCGAAATCTATCGAGGCGTTAGCCGAGCGAATTTAATTAGAAAAGTTTCACTGTCCAAGGCGGTCACAAACACGGCTCTATTCTACTTTCTCTCGTTTCTCGTCATCTTTAACGAGGCTCGTCTGCTCCTCTTCAAAACTCGGCTCGCCGTTTTTTCCTTGTTCGCCGCGCACCTCCATCCCCGTAGAAACGAACAGTCAAACAGAGTGGAAGGACCATTGTTGCACGCGATGGGATTTAAAAAAAGGACTTTACAGAATTTTATTAATCTACTACAATCCAAATTTTCAGTGTATTGAGAAAGTTCTCTGCACTTTCAAATTGAAAATCGAAAGAGAAAGACGTGATAATCTTGGATTTCACGTGAATGGAGTTTTAAAATCCAATACCTTGCGTTAATTAATTATACATTGTTAATATTCTCTTTTAATTAAGTTTGATTATTTAAGGGTTTTCTTGGCGAGATATTCATAATTATTCCTTGTTTAAAAGCTCATATTTTTCGACTGAGACTTCTCTTTCTGAGATTTCTCTTTTTAGCTACGTTAGACAACCATTTTATTCATTAAATTTCATTATATTTTATTCGTATCAACGTATGGCGTTAAACAAACACGAAAATCAACATAATTCTACTTTTTCAAGTATTATATAATCAAAAATTTTAGCGTAAATCACACGATACGATCGTTTAGTCGCTTTGAGAGCTAATCAAATTAAATAAAAAACGAATCTACTCCTAGAATGGATAATTAATTTTAACGAGTGAATTTAATTTTAATTTCCTTCGCTATTTATACAAATTTTCATCAATTTTCTTCACTATTTGTACAAATAAAGCTTCCACAAGCTTGTATCCCTGTCGTCTGGTCTTCGAGGCCAACGTCCACTGGCAACAAATCCAAGAGAAAGTCAACTCGCTTTCAGTAGTAATTCGCAGTTATTTCGGACGGATTGTAGCGCGGAAATAACCCGCTGAAACGACGCTCACGCTCAGCTTCGTGTTCAATTATTAAAACGACCAACCGGTTTGTTTCGTTCCCTCCATTTACCGAAAAGCACACCGGTTTTCGACGATCGATCGCGACACGACGTACCTCCCGTTTTCTCTCCGCGAAACGAACCTACGTTTCTTCATTCTAGATCCATGGCCATAATTATAGCAACTAATGACAGATCGATCGAGCCATGAGGACGCGTCAGTTGCGGCTCGTGTCGCCTGGAATGTAGTCGTTTAGAAGGCCAACGACTATACGCGCACGAAGAAAGAAAGAAACACGGAAGGGAGAAAGAGAAAGAAAGAGAGAGAGAAAGAGAAAAGGACAGAGGAACGTTGGTGCATACTTATCGAAAGAACGTCGTGAACCGAGAAGAATCCACCGGAAATAACGGTGACGTGGCGACAGGCAAATGTCCTCGTCGAGCTTCCGCGAGAGCCCGTCGACGAGCTACTCACGAGAAGCGGCAGGAAACAGAGATACCGACGGCGACGCCAGACGTCGCTCCACCGCAGTGTCAATTTCACGATAAAACTGGAGAAACCGGGAGACCCAAACTAGTCAATCCGCGATTTACTCGATTTATCCCCCCTTCCCTTTTTGGCTGTGTTTATCCTTAACAAACAAAAAAAAAAATATATATATATATATATACATACATCGTAATCGATAGTGTTCAGATCGTACGATCCCTCGTAAATATCTACGCCTTCTCGGAATGTCCGGTCGCGTGTGAATCGAATTCTCCTCGCAAGGAGAAAGAGTCAACGACGAGGGAGACCGGAGAGGAGACGACGTCAATATTAGTTGTATAGTCTAGTGATACAAAAGAAAAGAGAAAGGAAGAGTCGTCTTAGATATATTACCGCACGTAGTGCAAACGTAGCGAGTTCGAAGTTCGTACGATTTCGCGTCGTAATCGCAAATCCAACGATAATCCGTGTGATCGACGAAAAAGAAAGCAATAATTTAAAAAGGAAATCAATATTCGTAAGTAACGCGATTAACGCGATCGGTTTTTGCCTGGTGTGTTCCGCTGGTGTGTTTCGCCGCGTGTGCATCGACCGAGCACGCGTCACGTGTCTCGTTATATCGAAGCTGCTGAAGGAACGAGGGACAGTGCATCGGCAGAATGGCGTTCGCTGCGGCGAGAATGATCCTGAAGGACAAGCGACGGAAGGCCAGCAAGGAAGATTTCGCGCCAAGAAACAGGAGCAAGGTAATGTCGACGTGATCTTATTTGCAAAATTCGGCTAATTCGGCCATTGATCGATGATGGATGTCAGCTCTAGCTCCAGAGGACATGTTTCACGCACACACAGAATATTTTATGATTTTTTCATTTTTCTTTTTTTCGTTTTTTTTTTTTGTTTTTTAATGATTCGGGAGACTCGGAAGTGAGAAAGTTTTTTCACGACAAATAATGAGATTTCTCTGGCTAGTTTTATTTGGTACAATACCCACAATCTACAGACAGTGACGAAGGTTTTTGTACATTTGTCAAATTTCAGACAACGATTTGAAACATTTTTAATTTGTTTGTTGGTTGGTATAAATTCTGAACAATGACGATGATTTTTTTATAAATAAATTGAAAAGAGAAATTATGAAATCTATTACACAATTATCATTGGAGTTAACAGTTAGAATAACTTTCATTCGTTTTGCAATGTACATGTTACAATGTGATAATTACTTACAAATTCTTCATGTTCCTTTAAACAAATTTAAGAAACGCAACATTTTAGAATCTGGTCTAATTTTGAACCAACAAATTGAATTAGGTTCCGCAAAATGTTCAAAATCATTGTTTGAAATTTCCATTTGAATGTTCTATTCAAATATTTGAAATATTCGACAGATGTACATACGTAGACTTCCGTGGCTGGCTGTATTTGTAGAAATGACGTTGACGATGTTATCAAGACCCGACACGTGTCCGCGTATTATCTGAAGATCGACTTTAGATCGGGGTTTAGACTGACTCATAAAAGTATTTTAACTCTTAACACGAAAGAACTTTTATGAATTACGTCTGTTACATCAAACTTCTTGAAATTTTATTAACACCGTAACGAGGCTCGATAATCGTGATTACTTTAGTAATATCTGAAAGTATTTTTAATAATATGTAATATAATATTATTGCAATTCATTTTAAATCATATTAATCCATGGATAAAATGATTTTAGAATCACAGAGAAATTACAAAAATATTTTCGTGATTCACAGTAAATAGCTTGCACTCTGATGTCTCGTTTTAATGCTAATAAAATTTACAAAACTACACGTATTCGTGAAAGATTTTTACATACGTTCAAATATTTTTATAAGCATCAGTATGTTAAATTTCTTTTAGTCTACAAATTAATACCAGATTAGTTGCTGTCTCTGTAAATTATTTTTAATTATTTTAACAACAACGTAAAGGGAACGTAAAGTCTACGTACTATGTCATAAATCAAGAAGAGAAAGAAACGAGCAACGAAGCGTCCGCATGAATCTTATCGCCTGCGCTGGCAGCCAGTGGATTACGTAAATACAATTGACGATGCGCGAGAAAGTAGGCTGTTGGAAACAGAAAATCGAAAAAGTGCGACGAAAATAAAAAGAAAAGAACAAAGAAGAATTACAAGCGTAGGATGCGTGCTAATGAAGTAGATCGCGTGTTAAATTCGTGCTATTTGACGCGATGTTAAAAACATTTCTTCCCAATTCTTCGTTTCTCTGCGCTGTTTGTGTAGTTTTCGATGAAACGATATGCGAAATAGTGACACGAAGATTAATCCTTTCGCTCTGGGGAACGCAAATATTCGTACTCGAAAAGTACATGAAGAACGTGATCAAAAAATATAAGAGAATGCATGCATGTACACTTTTGTTCATAAATATTGGAACATCTTCTCCTAGTTTCATAATCAGATATTTATGAAAGTTTGCAAAATTAATATAAAATTTGTTAACATCATTTGGACGAATTGTAGTAATGCAGTAAATTCTAATGATCGTATGCTCAAGTCTGTTGAAAATTTCAGTCTGTATTTCAAAATTGTTCGTAACACCAAGACTGATAAGAACGAGTATTAGAAAATTCAAAGTTGAATATATAACGTGTTCTTCAAACAGTAATTTTTAACAATTTTAATAATCTCCTGACCGTCGATCAAAATTTCTACTCAAAATGTTAAAAGTGTACGTGTCTAGCCATAAATTACTGATGAGATCGATTACAAAATAACCAACTGCATCAACTTTATCAAATTTCGATGCAAAGTTTAGCGAACGAGAAACACAGTGACGCGTCCAACAACACTTTCTATTAACACTTTCTATATTCACATTTCGTTACAAGTATGCCAGAACGAAAGGATTGAAACGAGTCTCGAAAAAAAAATTGAACTTGGTTCGATTGGTGAAAAAATTGCGAATGAATCGGAAAAAGAGAAAGGGAGAAAAAGAAGGTCATCGTACATTATCGCCTTTGGCACGTAGACACGGCCAAATGGCGGTTTCCATCTAATCGTTCAAAGTTCAACCGCAACCGATGGGCATCGAGCAGAGACAGAGCCAGCCAGAGGAACGATAAGAAAGTTCGTTACCAGGTTGTGTCCTACCGAGCACCGGAAATTAAATCCGCCTTCACCGGACGACGAACTTTCCTAAACCCCGTTGTTCGAACGTCCCTTCCCTCGAATATACTCCCGGCTCTTTTTCCGCTTCCTGTTCCCGACGCTAATTAAGAGCTTATCGACGATTGGCCATGTCATGCCAATCACTTATTTCGACTCGTTCGAAAGCCAGGAATCGATGAACGGGACCACTCGATCGTCGCGCGCGAAATCGAGGCGATTTTCGCAGTTACTTTTCCTCATTTCATGTTCATCAAGAATTTCAATTACTCAGAATCGAAGAATTTTACTTTTCTTTTATTTTTGGATGAAGGATTCAATCACTCTAAACTGGACATAAGAATTTCAATTATTCAAAATTTATTTATTTATTTTCTCCGACAGTTCAAAAATATTGTTCGACGATATTCAGGATTTCAGATTTTCAGTTTCCTTTTTTTTTTTTTGAGAATTTAATTACTCAGGAATTTTTATCTTCTCGCTTTTCATCGACTCGGAATTTCTGTAGCAATCTGTTTTCTTTCGCGAAGCAAGTATTTCGTTGAATTAGTTTACTTAAAAATAGCCTGAACATCCTGAGACCCATTTTTTTTTTAGATCCAATAATAGAACTTTGCGTGTCCACGAACGAAACATTCGCTTGTCTCTACCTTATCGCGCTTCTTTCTACGCAATTTTTCGGTAGATTACATCGTGTCTTTCTGAACATACTAACCCTTAAAGCCGCCAACAACGTGTAAACCAGGCTAACGTCTGCCATTTTATCGTGCCACGTTTACGTTAACCAGGTCGTTTTGTTCGCAGTAACTTACTGTCGTTTGCGTTATCGGTGCTTCCACTGACTCTATACGCGCGTTCCATTTTCTGTCAAACCGTGGGACAACCGGTTGAGGGGCGATTTTGCATGCAAAACGCGAGCGAGTCGAAACGAAAGAACGAAATATTTTAAAACAGAATTAAATAACCAATGAAAATACGTGAAAAATAAGGGGAATTTCTCCCTTTAAGACCTCATTTTCAAGAAAGTAGAGTTTGAATATGTTTATCCACCGTTTTCATCATTTTCTATAATCATCGCTTCGCTATTAAATTTTGTCAATACGTAATTAGAAAAGTACCAAAGGTACCAATCTTGTGAGTAAACGGAAGTTCCAGTTTACGCGTTAGACAAACGCTCGACCAATTTTTCCGAGAATAAAGCACCTTGTGGACTGAAATTGTGATTTCACGCTCTTCATACGCGAGCAACCCGCGATTATAAATTTTCAAACTCGATCTCGCCGAGACTGAAGCCTCGGTTCAACTCGTTCGGTGTAAATATTTCGCAGCCTGCGTGAATCTTCTCGTTTTCGAGATTCGTTCACGCGAGGACTCGAGGGCGAGGATTCGATTATTTAATAGCGCTTCGCGGACGATGCGTTTATTCGCGGGCGGCTCGAACGTGGCGCGTATACGCGTATCGCGCGGCGACAAATTGCTCCCCAGTTGCGTAATTGTTTTGCGAATTTTCGCCCGGCTCGTTGGGCGAAAATATATATTCAGCGTGTCCGTCGCGCAACTCCCACGGCGAGCATCCAATTAGCGAACGTTTACGGCTGACTGGAATTTTAATGATCTATGGACGTCGCCGTGGCGGCGCGCCATGGTTTTTCAACGAGAAAAGCTACCAGGCCACTCTGCCAGCTTTGCTCTCGCCTCGGTCCAGCAATTAACCGCGTTTCGCGTTTCGCGCGCGCTGCTTTCTCGTGAATAATTAAGAAATCAAAGCTGAAAGGTATTAACTTTGGCGACGGGGGAGCCGCGCCACGGAAATCACGTTTATGAAGATCGACGCGCGAGAGCTTCCAAAAAAAAGAAAAATCTTGTTGGAGGACGAACTGTTCTATCGAGGCGAACGCGAGCGCTATTGGAAATCGATGGCGTCGTTGCTCGTGTATTTTTTTTTTTTTTTTTTCATCCACCGGCTGTGGTTTACACATTTTCGAAAAAAATGCTCGTCGCAGGTGTGACTGAATCCTCGCGTTCGCGCAAGGAATCGTGACACATTTTCGGAATGAAGGCTTAAATTCCTTTTGGCGCAACCGCGCGAACAACGAGATGCAAAATCATCGACATTTCAAACTGTTTTAACATCGTCGAAAAGAAATCCTGTAACAATCCACTTGTCCCCGTTTTGAAGCGCAAAGTCTCCAATTTTACAATCCTGCATTCGTTTATTTTAAAAATGTTTTTACATCGTGTGAAGTGTGGAAAGTTCTCGAAGATTGTCCGAATTTAAATGTCTCTAAAAGTGTTGGAAAATTTTTTTCGTGACTGGATCTACGCTCTTAAAGATCTAAAATTTGTACGACATTTTATTAAGCTTTGAACATTATAGTCGGACGACGAAATGTCGAGAATTTTTGATTTTTCGTCGTTTAATATTCAAAGTTCGATAGAATGATGAAAGACATGTGGTACAGAGAACTTTAAGGGCTTGTTGTAAAGAGGAGACTTCAATTTTCAAGATCACAGTGATTTCAGTCACGGAAACGAACAGGATTTGTATAGTATTTCGCATTTTTCGCGTAACTTTTTAATAGAATATCAAACGACTTACGTACGTTCATACAAAATTCTTTTATCTTTTAAAAAGTATGGCTAGCAATAATAAATGTAATATGCTTCTTGACCGTTTGATTTCGACATGATGTTATCAATCAGTACATTTTGCTTTTCCGATAATTAAGCAAATATTAATCGCGTAATATTCAGAAAATTTCAAAGCGTTTGGGGAAATGGCCAGCAGACTCTCCTCTTTCAGTCAAAACTTTTGATCGAGCAACTTGAAAGAGAAGTTCGAGTACTGAGATTCAATCGTCAACATTCGAATCTAACTCGCGTTCAAGCATCGGTTTATTTTTTCGAAATTCGTCCGCTTGAACCGTTAATGTGAGTGGAAATCTATTAGAAATTAATTAGATATCAATGCAGAAATCAGTGAGTAATTATGAAGATAAATGCGAAATCTTCATACGAGTTTTATATTTTAGGCAAAGAGGAACAGGATAATTTTTTTTCGAACAAAAGTTAAGATATTCAATGAAAGTGAGAAAAATGTGATACGAAATTCAATTATTGAAACTATCCGCAGTCCGAGGTGGATTAATGTTGATTCGCTTCAACAAAAGTACCATTTATTTTCATTCCACTCTCAATTAATCATTTATAAAACATTCTGGCACACGCGAAACTGTTGATAAATTTCATTATCGCGCGGGAGTAAAGAACCTTTCAAATTCAAACTCTGTTTTGTCGCTGTAAAGTGAAATATTGGGGCCGCTCGCGATAATAATGGCCCAACCTCTGCTAAACGAGCACGCGATAAAGCTTATCGGTAAATAGAAGAAAAAAAGAAATACTAAAAAAAAAAAAAAAAAAAAGAAAAAGACGAAGAAGGCCGGGGAAAAATGGAACGATGATCTCTGCGTCGGGGTTAATCAACGTGCAAAAGGGACGAAACGTTCAAAATCCGATTGCCATTTCCGTTTCGCTAGGACAGATACGGTAGATTAATTACGTTTCGGCGATCCAATTAATTCGTCCGGACAGAACACTATTTTAAAAGTGGGTACATCCCGGGAACGCGAAGGTTTTCATATCGAGAAATGCAATCGGGGCCTCTATAAAACCGGCAAATTAAGCCTTCCGCCGGTCGGCGGGTACCGCCTCGTTACCTTTGACAAAACGAAACCACGGTCCAATTAGAACGACAATGCTAGGCTCTCGAGTAACCGAGTACACGTCGCGAGCAGCAACGAAACTTTTGCTTTTCCTTTCTGCCCTCTCCGTTTCCCCGCCTCCCCCCTTCTTTTTTCCCTTCCTCTCTTTCTTTCTATAGAGAGACTGCTCTTCAAGAATTGCTTGCGGTAAGTGCGTGCGTGTCACACACGACCTAAATTCGCGGCGTGTGTGGATAGATTGTCGCGAAGCAAGTACAGAATTCCAAGTCGCAATTGGGACAAGTATCGTCTTTGATTTTAAGAAACAGATTCTTGGCTAATGGAAAATTGAGTAAGTCGAGAGAAAATGTTATGGCATAAATATAAAATCTGTAGATGTGTTTTACGTTTGTTATAACACGAAGATATAAGACAAAGTTAAATAGCGATCGACATGTCTATTCATCGCTCAGAGTAAACTGTTGCTTGTTCGATGGAAAATTTGGCAAAGTTTGACGAAAATAGTAAAAGTGTTGGGGAAAGATCAAATTAATATTAAAGAATTCCGAGTGTACTTCAAAACACATTTAACACATTTAAAGATTAATGTGTATTATTTTCCAATTTGTTTCAAACTTTATTCTCAAAATTGGAAATAACGAACGAAAGTTCGCGTATAATTTTATACCAAATCGTGTTTCACATTTACTCCGATGCCATTGCATTTAGTCGGATACTCATTGTTAGAGTTATGAATAAGACACGAGAGTTACAATTATCAGAATCGGAGTATCGGTGGCGCGAGAACTAACGTGTTGAGCCAAGTGGCTCGTAAACGTCGAGGAAACCGACGCAGGAAGAAACTGTCGTGCGCGACAGTTCGGACAAGTTTGAGATTCATGCGGACGATCCGGTGGCTGTCGTGGCGAGAAAGCTGCGAGTCCAACCCGGACACAATGAAAAGTTCAACGTTGCACAAGTTTCGCAGGAACGAATCAACACGAATCACTTCCACTCTCTTCTACTTTGTCATGAGTGACGCTGTCCTTTCTTTCTTTCGCTTCTCCTTTGAACGCTTTGATTGTACAGAAAAAAAAAGAGGAAAAAGGAAAAGAGAGAAACCGAGCTACGTATGATTGTGAGAAACACGAAAACTGGCCTCGTAATTGTTCAAACACTTGAGAAACCCACGCTATGCTGTCGTGTATGTTCAGTGTGCACTGCTGTTAATACGCTGTACTACCACGAATACCGTGTTTTTTTTTTTTTTTTTTTTTGCGAATACGACAAGTATCCACGTTGTATACCTCATTATATACCTACTGCCATTAGGGAAGATCTCACGAGGATAATTTTATTTGAGACTACGATATTAACTTTGTGCTTTGTAACATCGTGTCGTACTTGTGGATCGTGACTGTGATAAATTGTACTTGTACGAAAGTCATTGTGAATCATTGGTAGAAAAATAATTTGTGCCAATTTGTGCCGGTTTAATTACCAAACGATTGTTTAGTCATTTGGTTTCGTTATTAAATTTTGATTACAACATGATCGTTACGTTATAACGTAATTACACGTTTGTAATGGTATAATAATTCTCGCAGATGAAAATCACATATGGTTTTAAAGTATATTTGTATACAATCTCTAATGTGTATCGATGCAATTTAAAAATGATGCGATCTGCGTCGATCACTTCGTTGGAAAATAATATGATTTCATTTTGAAGAAAAACCTATGTGATCGATTGCAGAAGAAGAAATTGATTGCACTAGAATGTGTCTCCCTCGGGACCATTCGATTCTTCTTTCACAGTGATAGATTATACTTTATTTGTGACTTCACAATGGATTATCTAAGCACATTATAACTATTATTACAAAATGCAAATTTTGACGTATTGCCAAGAAACTGAGTATAATATTAATATTTATTTACACAATGTTAAAAGATATACGAAATAATTGCAAATAATCGCCATCTGTCAAAGCCCCGTTAACAATTACACTATCAAATAATTAAAAATTTAGATAAATCTCGAGGAGATCTTCCCCGCTGGCACACCAACATTTCTCGTAATTCGTAACAACTTTCTCTTTTTCCTCCCTCTAGTTTAGGTGTATCGCAGAACAAATTATACGATCCGACTCAACAGATATCAGCACAGTCGTACTCTCTGTCTTACCCCACTCCTATTCTCTATTCTCTGTCTATACTGTGTCCGTGTTTTTATATGTAACCACCTACTACTACTATTCTATGTTGTCTACTATTCTATACCATGTCTCTATTTTGTTACTTTTTTCCAACTGCAGTGTGTGGTGATTGGTGACCTGTACTGTACTTGTGTTTACAGGCCCGCAGCGCCAGTACAAGTAGCTTTAGAAGCCTGAGCCAGGTACATACCAAAAATGACATAATCCACATATATAGCTGAGAAATTAGTTAATACTTTAGCTACTTTAGCCGGACGTTTTAGCTAGATACTTAGAATCTAGACGTTTGATTAATTAATTAATTCGTTAATTGCTCGTACGTAGATGCGTAGAGCACGCGCGGATCTCTCTCGTGTTTCAGCCTCTCCGACGAGAGGACACGACGATCCGCGCGTTCTACTGTTACGTTCTACCATTACGATTGTCGTCAGAATTGTTAGCATCGAGAGTATAGACGATTTTCGCTATGAAATTAATTGATTGACGATCGACGAGACGACGGTTTATTGTAATATTGAACAGTACCATGTGGATTTCATCTCGCTGAGAAATAATCAGCGGTGATACACGAGCGGTCGTGTACGATGTACCTGTACGTGCATGCTGACGGTTTTGTCCTCCTACACGCAGAAATGCAAGAATAATGAACGAAGCATGCCACTCACACGCACGTCCTTTGTTTGTATACGTACGATCGCTGACGAAAGTGTTGGAATATTTATTGCAGCCTCTTTCTGGAGCACGTCGCGTGTGTCTGTCTGTCATGTAAGATATTTTGAAAATTAATACCGCAGTCAGTCAAAAATTCGCGGAGTGTTTCTGAGTTGTACAGCGGTACAACCGATGGGTCGTTTCGTATGCAGAAGTAAGAATAAGAGAAGAAAGAATAAAGTACACTCGAGTGTCTAGTTTCGAATTGAGCGAGGAGAGAATGATCGACTCGAGGATACTTCGCCTGTGAAACTAAGCCGACGCCTCGTTTTCAAGAAAATGAAATTTAATAATTTATCAAGTACACGTGCACACGTGTAAACATCATGTTTCTTGGAAACAAATGAAATAGAAGAATTTTGCTCTATATCTTTGCGACGAGTAACCTTCAATCGATTATTCGCTACTTTCTAAATTGTTTATCTTTTAAATATCGTTATTTTATATTTAATTCAAGCTGTACCTGACAAATTTTGAAACTCAGTTTTCTCGAAAATGAAAACGTTATTCTCTCTTCCTAATTTATTTGTACGTGTGAAATTATCCTCTGTCGTGCCACAGTTTCAGAAACACCTTGTATATAAAAACCACAAGGTATTGTAAGATTAATTGCAAACTCTACCATCTCTCATTACAGTTTCAACGAGACTTCAAAATATTTTACACGACATTTATAATGCATTTATAAAAATTCCTCTGTGACGAATATTCGAATACTTTCGTGATACTCCTCACTGAACACTGAACACCACTCATTGTCAATAGAATGTGCATGTCTTCCCCGCCTGCCTTACCTTAGGTCACTAATCTACTCGTGCATTTCCTCTTGATCTGTCTTTTTCTTTCACCTTCTTCTTCTTCTTCTTCTTCTTTTTCTTCTTCTTCTTCTTCTTCTACTTGACACAAATTGCGCGCAGACGTTTGTAAAAGGACCAACGTAAGTATACACGTACACACAGAAAGGAAAAGGATAGAAGCTGGATTAATGTAAGGATATGTGCCGATCAGTGACGTTCGAATTGCAAGTGGAATTGGTTGTTTCTCGTCGGACGTGAGTTTTAACTTTTGAGACTTCAAGTCGCCCTGCTGGAATCGAACCGGCGACACCGAAGACAGTGTGTGTCATAAACAACGACACAATATATCCGGAAATATAGTCGTTGTTTGAAGCTTGAAACGTTTGATTGCCACGTCCGTCTAGAACGATTGAAGCAAAGAATTAGTTATACATATAAAATAAGTCAAAAACGTCATATTTAATTATGTTGTTAAAAAATATGTTTCAATCAATTTTTTCTATTACTTTTAAATAGATCTAAATAATAATCAAATGTATAATGAATTTTTCATCCCAATTTCCATTCAAGTACTGTTTTAAATCGTTATGTTTCTTCATCGATCAAGTATCACCACGTTCGATTCAATAAATAACTCTCGAAGCAGATGTGACAACACTTTCCATATTCTTTTATTTTAATTCTCATCACTAGCAGTGGAAAATCTGCCTGAATCGGTACGACAGGATGTGTGACACGAAGAATGGTAATGGAGCATAGGATGACCCGAAATCGTGGCCGAAAAAATACATTGCATGCAATGTCTATTCATATGCCTCGTCTGTCGCTATATTATATCGGACAATCAAAATTAGTCGTAATATTCCTCTTGGAAAAATATACGAAGAAATTTATTCGATCCAAAAAGCAAAGGATACTTCATACCTTTGCTTGTAGGAATGTTTATTAATACACCGATACTTTACACCTTCTTTGTCGTACAAAGTATTAATCAATTTTCCAATTCTGAAACGAACGTAACGATCGTCTTCAAAACTTCTGAGCGAGGATGCGAGGCTTTAACCAATGCGTCCGACACACCTTTGAAGCCTTTTCCTCGTCTCGGTAATTTATTCTCATCTCGACTTTCAATCATCATTCCGTTTTGCATATTAATCGCGCGAAATCGGTTCTACCGGACTGCAACGCGAGCGACGCGGGGCGTGGTGTTCACGGCTGCGTTTTTCTGATCCTCGCCAGAGACACTCGGTCTCTTTCGATGGAAAAAAGAGATCGAATATTCCCAACAATGGGAAGAATATCGACGAACCTCTCGGAGGAAACGAGGATATTTCGTTACGGCCATGTCCTCGACATTTGTCGCCGCGTTTTCACGGCTGGCCGAATCCCGTGAGAAGATAAAAATCTCGATCTTTCTATAAAACGTGCAATGTCGAGCAATCCTCGCGAGAGAGAATCTCTTTCGGAAAGACAAACGGGCCGGAAAAAAGCGGCCGGTATCGTAGATTAAGAGAAGAAAATCAGGTGAATGGCATCTTGGGCTCCTCTCTCGCGGCGAGCACCCTTCTCCATGAGTAGTCGTCTCTCGGTGTATAAAAGCAATAAGAGCCGCGGCGAGAGCCTTTGAATGTAGCGAGCGAAGGCGGTAGATTCGAGTTGAGGATGGTTCGGGGTTGAGAAGGCACCAGGGCGATCGATACCACGAGCTGCACCCTCGTCGTCGGTCGGTGTTGTCGTGGCCGTTGCTCAATTATTAATCGTCCTCAGACCATCGTTTCCAGGCTACTCTGTCGTAGGTGCAGTGACACGTACCAAGGTCAGGATTCTCCATGTTTATTCAGTCGTTTCCCTCGTCTCTTCGTCTCTCTCTCTTTCTCCCCCCCCCCTCTCTCTCTCTCTCTGTTCATTGTACAAGCCTTTACGCTTTACCTCCGACGTTGTCGGAAATTCGAACGAAGGTATTCGAAGTGTTTGCTCATCGTAGAGAATTCACGGAAGTGTATATAAATCGAGTGTTTAAGAGGGAACGAGGATTAGGACAGGCAGCAATTTGTTTATGTTCGATGGAAAGTAACGACGGTCCCATTGAATAATAAAATCGCACGTAGAAGCTGCAAGAAATTAATTTATAGCGCCAACATCTGTCTTAAGTAATAATGTAATAATATATCTTAGAAATCGTGCATATTGAATATTGATGATCGTTGATACAATCTGATTTCTATAAAATATATGCATTTCCCACAATAATAATAATAACATCGTAATATGACAGAAAGTCCTGTCAGCTCATTAATTTGTAATTTACAATTCCTACGGGATATGTCCTTCCTCCAAATACCTCGTAGCTTCGGCGAACGATACGATTACACGTTCGTTTCAAACGTCGTTATTATAATCACGACAGTCAGTTCCCCTGTCGATGTATTGCTAATGAAATTTCAGAACGTGTAATCACATTGTGCGCGTAATGTTAATAAAACGTTTCCGTAAACTGTTCGAATACTTTCGCAGACTACCGTACATCGCCGTAACGTCGCAGCTAAACGTCCCTCCCCTGAAATGTTAAACCGCGTTTCTGCAAATGCACTCGACGGTTGCTCTACTTTTCCCTGTAATTTCAACAGACGAAATCGTGCAACCATGAGCTGGCACCTGGCTGCGTATCGTGCCCTGGGGGGGGAACTATATCGGACAACCCGTCACTCTCGATGACACTATGCCAATCTGTCCGTACGATTTAATCGACTGCTACTCTTCGCGCATCGACGCATTGCTCATCCGTGAACAACCGGGCCTGCAAAAATTCCCTTTCGAAGCGATGTGTTCGGCGAGCATTCACGTGGAAAACTCGTATAAAACAGCGAAAATAGAGAAAGAAAGAGAGAGAGAGAGAGAGAGAGAGAGAGAGAGAGAGAGAGAGAAGGGGATGGAGTGTAAAACAACGTTGCGATTGTGCAGGAACGCAATCCAGGTCGCAATTATTGTAACTGCTCTTCAGGGTTATAGCACAGCCCCTTTCCTTTCGTTGCCTCGTGTAACGAGTTTTAACGCCTTCTCGCGGTGAAAGGGGTTTTTCGAACGAGTTTCGCGCGTTTGCAAGCCATCAACTGCGCGAGTTAACCTCGTGAAAAGCGCACGCTGGAAAGTTTCAGCCAGCTGGCTCGGTGGGATTGTCGAGATATTAATTACTTGAGAATCGGATCATTAAATAAAATTTGGAGGGATAAAATTCAAATTTATTTATCAAATATTATTTGGAGCCTCGAATGAGAAGAATTTTGGACCACCTTATGATCTTTCGATAATCGTAATTCGATCATTAAGATATCGAATAATTGAACGATTTGTTCCAAGGCAAAGGTATGCTCTGCTCTTCTCGTCTTAGTTCCTCGAGAACAATGATCCTTCCAAAATCTTCTTCACGTTCTTGACTTACTTTCCTTCCCAATCTAGGATTAGCACGCTCGAAGAATTTTTTAAATTCAATCTTCTGGAGATATTCTCTCTCGTTCCACGCTGTAGAAATGCTTCGCATAGTAACTCGCTATAACTCTTCGAAAGTATTTTTAAAACTAGTCCTCTAACGTATATCGCGAAAAACGTTTTGAAACTTCGTTCAATTCGAAACATTCAGATGTTCAAGCTCAAGCGTGATGATACGCACGAAGGTTACAAAAGTATTTGAAAGGAATCGATCTTTCGCGATATGAATTTAACAGGAAAGAACGCCTCTCGCAACGATAAATATTCCAAATGAGAGAGTGTTAATAGAGCGTTCTTCGGATAACGAAGATTCGAACGAGAGGGTTTCTGCATGAGTGTGTTTCTACGCGACCTATCAATCCTCTGGATCGCCTACGGGTTATAGGTTTTCAAGGACGGTCGCAGCCGGCCCCAATTATTGATCCTTCGGAAGCGGTTTCCGGGTCTCGCTCGCGAATACTCGGACAAAACTTGAGTGGGTGAAACGGCCGGGGCCAGACCCGGAGTCCTCACTGCAGCGAGAGAGGAGCGAGAGAAACTGAGTGAGTACAAGAGGAAGGAAGGCAGTCGAAGGGAGCAAAAGCTGAAAGCGGAGCATGGCTGACGATGGGAGGGGGTGGCGATGGGTGTTTCTGCACGTTCTCGCCGGATCCTCCACTATTCTCTCGGTCTCTCTCTTCGTTTTCTTCAATCTTTCAGATTTCGAAATCGATCAACTGGAATCGCTCCGTTGAGAGACGAGGCCATCTTCGTTTATCTTCATTGACTCAGCTTGATAAATCACTTCTTTTCGAACCTGGTGACGATTTTTTAACGACGAATGAAAGAAATTTCTTCCTCCGATTTCACGTTTCCAATTTTTTGCTTACTAGAATGAACTATTGAAATTCAAGGAACGTGACTGTTAGCAATAATCGAGGGAATCTGACGATGAATTTGTCAATTAAACAAAGTTTTTCGACAAACTGTATCAGTTATATAACGAACTTTATCAGCAGTGACTACCAAAATTCTATATCTACGTAATCTACGTGATACATCGATAAAAATTCATCTCGCGAAAATTTCTGTGACTTTGTATTCTGTAAGATGGAATACATAAATTCTATTTGCGAAATTGCCTCTTAATAGGAAACTTCTGGTAGTCACACAGTATTCCTCGATTACTAGAACTAGTTCTACAAGAACAAGTTTGAAAGCTTTTTTTTTTTTTTAGTGAAGTAAACTCTTGTCGAGTGAACCGAGTTATTCCTGCGTAATATATTCATTATAGTAGTCTTTCGCCTATCAATCATTCAATCTTCTAGTATTCTATAAGCATTTTATTTACCAAAGTCCAATTGATTCACAGTTCCTACTCTTTGGCTCAGGCAAGAATAAAAATTGTTAAATCAATCGTGAGGTCCACCACTTCGACACAAAAATGAATGAAAACGAACTCTCCAATCGAAAATGTTCTACCAATAAATTATATTTTATGATTACCTCGAATTTCCAAGCTGGGAGGGGAAGAAAATGAAGGGAAGCAGGTCCAACAGCTAGATAGTCGTTTTCGCCACGGCGAAATCCCATCCCTATTGTCTTATAACCTCGATAACCAGGCTGATACGTGCACAAGAGCGACGTTGTAAAGTATAGAGATCTCGAACCTTGCCGCGAGTCGATGCCCGAGTTGATCGAATGAGTGGCCTTCGCGGAATTCGAACACGAGTGCCTCCTGCACGCTCAGCGATTTGCTCGTCGGAGATCCTTGATTAATATCCCATGCAAGCTCGCCGGTTTTCGAAGCGACAGGGAATTATTAGTCGCCACGTCGGGGTCCAACCACGTAACAGATGTCGTTATCTCTAAAATTCAGAAACGCCGTCACCGTTGCGACGAGCGTGTTACTCTTTGAAAGATAGTTGCTACGATCCTCGAGATTTTCGTATTCTTCAACTTTATTCTCATTATTGGGGAATTTTCATATCTCGATTTTATTCTCATTTTGAGAGGACTTTGAAACGTTTCGAGAAGAATCTCAACGTTTAGAAGAAAGTTTCAACGCTCGAGCTGATGATTTGGAAATTGATTGAGAAATACTGTGTATACTAACCACTATCGCTCGTTTCAAGTGTAATACGGGATGCGAAGTTCTGAGCACCTTCGTGAGCCACAGCTATAAAAATTCAATATAAAACGTGGAGTCTGTTAAAGAGCCGTTTGATCGTAAAGTTTCAAATGGCTGCAAAAATTCGACACTGTGGAAATAAAATACGAAACTTGTAAAAGGAAAAAAAGAAAAAAACAGAAAAACGTTTGATTGGAAGATTCGTATGTACATGTATACGAATATATAAAATTTCGAGCACTTTCGTGAATCATCGTGGCCGAAAAAATTTGAGAGAACCGTGAGAACGAAGTTTGCCAAATAGAATTTAAAATGAATTAATAAATAAATAAAACAGACCATTTAAAGTTTACTTCGTTAAGAAACAAGCCACTGCAAAATGATTGTTCATGAAAGTTCATTCGTTTCGTACGCGCGAAATTTATTCTCCTGCAAGCATTGCTTAAAAAAGGATCGATTCCGAAAATAACGATGCATTCGCGTGGAACCGCTGATTTATCACGAAAACTGAAAAGAATGATGGCCGCGCGCCGATTTCTGCGTACTGCCGTAACTTACGTCGTGATCACGTCACGCCGAGTATCAAACAACTCGAGCAACGTGTCCCATCGTTGGTCTTCGATCGGTGCGGAATAAAAAAAAAAAATGATCTCCTCGATACGATCGGCAAAGATAACGTTTAATCGAACGCTTCATGATTTTTGTACACTGTGAGCGAACAGACACGGCAGGGAAAAAAGAAACAATGCTCCCTCGTGGATCCTTTGTTGCATCTTTTGCTCGCTTTGCACCGAAATGTAGTAAATGCGTTGACGACTTTCTCCCGTGGAATTTCAATTTCAATTTCAAGAGAGAGAGAGAGAAAGAGCGAGTTCTTCGTCCACGATTAATGGAAGTGTCGTAGGAAGAAAATGCAGGCGTTCCTCTCACGCGAGACGGTGCATCCGTGGTCGAGCTTAATCACCGGTCATCATCTCCATAAACTCTGCAAAACAGAAATTAACAAGGTGTGAATTTTCACGATACGAGAATTTTACTTTCCATTCGCGAGAACGAAATTGATTATTTCGTTTGTCAAATGGAAAATGAAATAACGATCTTTCGATTCGATTTCATCAACCGCGTTTGTTTCAAATTTAATGCACGATAATAAAATATACGATATCCGTTCTGATATTTTTAATGCACGAGACGGGTCTCGGAATTTTTGTTCAGCTGCGAGATATCCAAAAATTTATTCATTAGATGTGCCATGAGAATTACTCAGAAAGCGCGTTCGCGTGAAAATTCGCGAATTCATCCTTTTACAAGTTTCATCACCGACGGTTAGTATAGTCGACTAAGGTGGCGTAATCCGAAATATTATTGTTGGACGATCCTTTTCATTTCGTCAAAGAGAGAGAGAGGAAGAGAGAGAGAGCGCACGATAGGAGAATATTTCTCCTGGAAGGCAAGTAGGTCGTATCCTTGCCCCTTTATTCGGAGGTTCTTCGGAGTTTTTTGAAAGAAGCTTTGGAAGGCCGGTATTAAGACGTTCGGAGGTTTAATCAAGCCCTCGTACGAGCCACCGTAACGAGCTCTATAGACGCGAGAAGCTAGCAGAAAAGTTCGTGTTGCCAATATCGTACACCATTCGCTCGAATCGCTCTTGGTAACGTTTGCCGAAAATATCATTAAGCGCGTCGTTGCAAAGCTTAGAATCACTATCTCTAATTATTTGTATCATCGAACACCTTCTATCAGTTTCGTCATTACTTTTATGCGACGTTTAATTAATGTGTAACATATAAATGTGACGTACAATAATGTTCAATTATAATTTTTTAATACCATCGGATTTTCTTTCATTACGAACAATTCCAAACTATAACGCGAAAACATCGCTTCTTGTATTCACATGATATTCTCTGCTAATTGCAAATTGATCCAAAATTAAGACTGGACGCTCTCAATAATGTTTAATAGCTCTCGTTTTTTTTCTTTTTTTCGAACATTAGAGAATTCTCTGAGGTAATTCTAACTTCCAACTTCTCTTTAAACTATTGACTTTTACGAGTATTTCTTCGTTTTACGTGTAATTACAATAGTCACTGTACGAATGCTCACCATCGAAGTCGACCGTGCCGGAGCCGTCGGTGTCAATTTCAGCGATCATGCCGTCCATTTGATCGGGTGTTATCTGATCATCCAGGGCGGCGAGAATCTCCCTGAGAGAGCTCGTTGGAATGTAGCCGTTGCCCTCCTTGTCGTAAAGCCTGAAAGCCTCTTTCAGCTCCTTCTGCAGGGCCTCGTCGTCCTCCTCTTGGAAGTGGCAAGCCACCCGATAGAACGAGTCGAAATTTAATTTGCCGTTGCCTGAAAGCCGACCCAGACCACAATTAAAAAACAAAAAAAGACAGGAAAAAAGAAAGGGGGGAGAGAGAAGGAGAGATAAAACAAAAATTCATCTCTAGATACCGCCCTCCCTTTCTCGCGGCAATTCATTCGACGTAGTGTAAACAAGCTGCTCGCAACCTTCTTCCCGATTTCCCCGTCCCGCGGTCGCTTTTTGTCGGCCGGGTGGAAAAATATCCGAGACGATATACTTGGTAGCCTTCCAAACGCTCTCCGACCGAATAAATTTGAAATTTATATCGACCATCGCGGGATATAATTCTCATCGGTTGGACGTGGTTCGCGAACGTGTGTCCTCGGTGGTGGATGAGAGGGTGAAATTTTCGTTTTCGAACGAAGAATGCAACGGGGGAAGCTTCTGTTTTATGGGGGTGGACGGAAGTTTGGGCAAACTTTCACTTTGTGCAGACTTCACGTAGCAGAGTTACGCGGAGTAGATCAGTCTTTCTTGTTACAAGATATTGGAAAGTGTGAGATTTTTTTTCGTTCTTTGAATTTTTTAGTATTCGAATGTTGTATGCGTTACAGAATGGAATTGGAGGATTCGTAAAATTATAGAACCCACGTGAAATGTCTGAATGATGTTCGAAATTATTTGAAAAGAAATTGGAAAGAGAAACGAATAATATAATATTCACCATTATTTTCCTTCAATTGTTACATACTAGAACAACAGAAGAAAAATTTCCTCGACGAATCTCTATTTAATTAAACAAGTTATCCTCTCCTTTGTTAAACTGATGCTCAAAAATTCATACAGAGTTCTACTCGTAATACCCAGAATTCTGTCCCTCGAAATTAGCGACTGGCCTCTCCCTTTTAAATTGATGTTTAAAAATTCATACGAATTTTATTCTACACGTGAAATCTGCTTGCAACTTCACCTGGATTCTGTCGCTGAAAACTGGCGGTCGTCCGGACGACACGATGCCTTAACACAGAATGGAAACGGGTACGGGCAGATATGTCTCGGCACGACGTGTGTGTCGATATCTGCATAATAATGCGTGTTGATAAAGCCAGGTCGCCGGGCGCAATGTCAGCCAGCGGCGTTGTCTCGATTTCCAAGGCAATTCGACGGGCTTACGGTAATTTCTGGCATTCGGTTCGGTGTCACGGTTCGACGTCATGGTTAAGTGCTTCTCGTTCGAGCGTTGTAGAGGCGGACACGGTGGCTAGAGCAGTTTCGATCGCGGCTTTTCTTCGACAACGTCGATGCTTGCCCGACCTTCCTAATTCGACCTCGCATTCTGTCTGCACGAAATACAATTAACGCGCGACCGTTCAATTTTTACAAATATTTGCCTTCTCCTCCTTTTTTTTTTTTTTTGGATGTTTTATTTGTTTGTTGTAAGAGTACACTCGTTAGTAATCGAAACTACTGGCAGGTGTTGGTACTTTTAAATCGTTGAGATTTAAATAATAAAAGCTCTCAGCTTTCAAAAAATTAAACTGCTTAAGAATTAAACTGCGTATTACCGGTCGTCAAGACTGAGGTTTCAACCATTAGTTTCATTTCATTTCATTATTAATCATTATTACGCGCAGGACGTAAAATATGAAGTGAAATTGAATACTCGAAATTACCATATTGTTTGAGAGTTGGTAACATTCTTTCGCATTATTTCTCTCGCAAAAGAATGAAACTACATTAAACAAAGTCTTCATTTGTCGAACTAAAAGTCGAGACAAATCCAGCCATCTAATCATTTTGTTGACAAAAAACGAAGTACTCAAATATTCCTTCAATTTCGTTTCTTCCACAAGGAAAGAAAGAATTTTTTTAAGCGTCACTGTAAATAGTTGTTAGTATCCGCAACTTTTTTAAAAACGAACAATGTCGATTTAACTACTTAGAACACTACGCTGTGAACTATCGAGTACTCCTTATGAAATATAGAGGGAAATTTACATAAACGCAGCGTCTAATCACAAAGAGCGTTTATACGAGTTTCGCGTTCTCGTTCTCACCTAACTTTACATCTATATAAAGACCAGGATGACCTAATACCAGAAACTAATAATTCCTAAAATATTTAACAATTTTCTAATAACTTGTCTTTCCATAAGTACACTTATGAACGAGCGTATAACTCGTTCTCAAATGTCAGGATAGTAGGTGCTTTTAAATTAGTACATAGAATCGAGCATGTAATAATTGTTGATGATCAAACGTAACAAATGTTTTAATGTTTGCAATGTTCGTGGAATACGTGAAACAAGTATTTTGCACGTGAATTATGACGAATGAAGATGAAAAAGTACAATATTGAGATACTAAATACAATTTAAGAAACGAGATTTTCGAAATATATGAAAATGTTCAGGCGGAGAACAATTATGTCGCTCTTCCTGATTTATGTGACAACGTACTGTATCTAATTATTACGAATTTTACCCTCGACTATCTTTGAGAACGTATATAAGGTGAAAAATGATCGAAAATTGTCAATTTTTTTTGTCAAACTTTAAACCCTTGTAACTTCATAAGAAAAAATTCAAACAAATTCTAAGAAATTATTATAAAAAGAAAATCTACTGCAATCTTCAAGACCTAAAGTAGATTTATTTATAAAAAAAAAATTCCAATATTTACAAAGACGTTCAAATTTGCAAAATGTTTTAGAGTGTAAACGTGCAGTACCTTTGCACGTTCATTTTTTCAAATTACGTGGCGATAAAATGAGAAAAAAAAAGAACAAGAATGTGTAAGCAGAAAATTCGTTTCGAATCCGATTAATTACTTTACTAGCCAATCCATCGGAGAGCGTGAGAGTTAAGTTTCTCCTGGATACGAACGCGTGGGTGAGAATTCTTCGAGGAACGCACCATCCAGACTCTGAATCGCGATTTGTTCCAACAGTGACACGATGTGTAACGTGAAATATACGAAAATGTGGACTGGAGAAGGTCTCGACCCAATTCTTGTTCTACGGTGAGAAAGGAGCCTACGACGAGACTCCGTGGAAGGATATCTTAGAAATCCTCTTCCTTTTGAGAGAGAAACTAGTCAAAGGGAGTCTTAACATCGATGTGATACGATATCCGATCGTTTCAATAAGCCTACTGGCTCATGAAATAGGGGACGAATTATCTTTTATCTGATCTAATTTCTAATTTCACTTCAACCGTCAAAGTAATCAAAATGATCATCTCGGGTAGCATTTTTCGAAAGTGCTTTCAACAAGATAAAAGCGTGTACGTTATTCCTTACGATTTTCAAATTACTTTCATTACTCGTATGCTTCATTGCTTGAATTTAAATTTCATAATTTCAGTCGTCGGTTGTACCGTTCGTCGAGTTCTAATTTTAATTTTAATCCAACGTGTAATTTCGTTCACCAGATTGACCCAATCCAATTTATATCTGATTTAAATACAATTTATATGTAATTCTAATTTCCAGTTTGCGTCTGGCTGAATCTAGTGCCTAATTTCTTTCGATTATTTCAAACTCTCTCTCTCTTTCTCGCCGAGACCGTAGCGCCAAGCAATCACGTAGAAAACGCCAGGACGAAAATAGGAAGGCTAGGAACTATAGGCAGAAAGCTATTAAAATTGATTGGTAAAACTTAAACGCTGCGTGAAACGAACACCGACAGTCGCCGGGGCGACGTTGGGGAAAAGTTTCCAACGCGTTCGCGTTATTCAGCTTTCGTTACCTCTATACACGTGCTTCCCCGTGTCTCAGCCATTATATCATGAATTATTTGGCCCCGTTCGGTCGAACGGAGGCATCGATCCGGCCGCCGTGCAACCGACGTCGCGTTCCAAAAAATTTGCTATAAAACTCGCGAAAAGTTCAGTGGAATCGGAATTCCGAACGCTGCCGTTCTCGTCACACTGCAGGATTTTCTGTCGCCGAGAAATTGGCCGTTAAATCGTAAATCGTGGCATACGTACAGTTTCGCGGCCGCGAACTTTCATTAAACTTACATTAAATTTCCGATCGTTTCGAAAAAGAAAATTGGCGACATTTAAGCTGCTTCAATCTCGCAACGTGAGAAGCAATAGTACAGCGATGAATCTGGGCTCGCTTTAAAGCCCGAAGCTTCCGTCTTCACATTCCGAATCACACGAATGTACTATAAATTTGAACGTCCCTCGATGGATTTGAAGATCGAAGCTCTGCAACGATCCCCTGAAACCTGCCGTGGAATTTCTTTCCGACAAATTACTGAACTTTGGACTTCGACAAAGTCTTCGAGTTTCTGCAATTTTTGTCAATAACTTGGCGAAGAAAAAAAAATCATACAGAAAACTTTAGAGGATTATCGCGTATGTAGAAATTCAAATGTTCTTAAAAATTCTTTTTCAGAGTAATTTTTATTCAGTGGTAGAAGCTTCAAAACGAGAAGCGGAAGCTTTAAAACGAGACCAACTCGATTGCTGTACGACCTTTTTTACGAGGTTGTAACAGTCTGAGATATAAGGGAATGTTTCATCGTTGGCACTACAGTTGTGATCTTTTTATCGTCTTCCTATTCGACTAGTGTTTCGACTAGTTTTTCAAAAAATTACCATAAAACTCGAGTAAAATCCGACGGAGAAATCGGAATTTCCAAAGAATATTCCGTCGTCTTTCGGAATCTTATCCTAAAAATTGTTGTGTACCTTCCTCGTCTTCCTGTTTGAGTAGCACTTCGAGCTCGTGGTCGTCGAAAGTGTGCCCCAGGGTGTTGAGGATTGTCCTTACTTTTTCCTTCTCGATCCGGCCAGACTTGGTTGAATCGAACATGGAGAAGGCTCTCCTGAGCACTGTAAAACACAAACGGATCGCAATAAATCGCTTCTGTATCGCTAGTCGTTCATTCGTCCACGTTATCTCGTAAACGATTCACGAAAATATTACGAAATGATTATTACGTACGAAACATTTCGAATTCGTTTGAAATTCTACCGACACAGTCACGAGAATCGTTTCTTACTACAATGACGATAAAATACCAAAAAATGTTTCTCTTACAAAATAAGAGAAGGTCATCCAGTATATTCACGAAGTTCCGCAAAAATCAACAAAAAAAAAAAAAAACCCAGAAGATCACTCTCTTATATTCCAGAAGATTCCAAACCCAAGCAAGCACGTTACATCCATTTATTCATCTTCATTTATTTATACAGCGTGGCCGGCGTACATACGCCGGTGTATTAAAATAACGAGGCCAAGTCAATCGGTAGTTTATTTCGCGATACAGATGCTCTCCGGGGTTGCGCAATCGGAAACCGTCCGCGTGAGAATGCGTGGCGTAGGCGGGGAACGAGAAAAAACGAGAGTGGTGGCGTTTCTTTTTTTTCTCTCTCTCTCTCTCTTTTTCTTGAGAAATCTCGCGAACGACCACGCGTTCTTCAAATCGTCGCCGCGACAAATCGATTCGGTTTTGGCAGCGGCTGGCAATCCGGCCGGGCCACGTTCCGGCGACAAATCTTAACGAGCAACCGGGTGGAGAAACCGGCCCTTTGAAGTCGCGACGTGTAAAATACACGCCAGCCTGCGACCTAGATCTTCGACATTCTCGACCTCTTTTCTCGACCAAATAAAACCATACTTGTTGACGCGCAACGTCCGGCGACGCTGGTTACGCGAGCGGAATTCCGTTTTCGTCCCCCTTTCCTTCTCGGCTGCGAATCGACTTACTTTTCACCTGCTCGTCATCCTGAAAACAGAAAGAAGAAGAAGCAATTTCGATGGAGTTCGAGGATGCTCGAAATGAAGGACACTTTTGACCCCTTAGTCGTTAGTTAATGAGCTTAATTTTATAACAATTGAGAGGATGATAAGAGAATCATGTATTCTCTGCAAAATCAAAATTCGTCACGCTAGTACAAAGGACAATATTTTGTCCAAACCTTCGTGCCATTTGGAATTCAATGGAACCTTCAACTTTGAAATTTTATGCTACCTGCAGAATTTAATACAGCAAAATTTTCTTTTTCTTTTCCGCAGAATTTAGTCTGTCATTTTAATCGGCAGATTGCTTCTTCGAGTGGAAGAATTAACTATCTAGAATTAGTACGTAAGATTTCGACAGTCAACGTTTGTATAGTCTGTATGTCTGTACGCAATAAATAAATATTTTTCTGTATGTTCAATCTCCATCGATTGTTTTAGTTTAACAACGTTTACGTATATTTTTTAGCACAGATGGAAACTCGTCTTCAGAAATAATTTTTTTACTAGTGAACAGAGGAAGGGGACGCTTCGATAGACAATTTTATATTATTGTACTTGGTTAATTCAGAGTCAACTGCAAACGATATATGAACGAAAAGTTGCGAATTTTTACGAAATTCTGTTTATTCTATTTTCAAATGTTCATCGAGTATTAAGAATCGTAATTACTGACTAACTGAAGTTGTAAATTACGCGAGGATAATTTTCTCTAAGTCCAGAGGTGTGAAACGTTCACCACGTGCGTGTCGCCGAGCTCTGTTCACTCGAGAAACCCGGGAAACCAAAGTGTTCAAACCGAATTTCGACAGAGTTCCTCGCTGGAGATTTAATTCTCCATCAATTACTTCCGTTATGGAAAATCGATCGGAGAATCGCTGGCGTTACGCCAACCTGCACGATTTTCTGCCGTCTCTCTCTCTCTCTCTCTCTCTCTCTCTCTCTCTCTCTCTCTCTCTCTCTCGATTAATGCAACGAAAAGCATTCGACGTGTATGTATAACAAACGTCACGCGACTTTCGCGACTTCTCGTCTCTCACTTGTTAATTGCAAATTGACTAACCATTTCCCAACGCTTCGAGCAAGTTGAACGCACGCGTCGTGTTTCCTCGTTCTTCGCCACTAATGGCCTATCCGCGCTGGATATCTTTTATAAGCTCAGCCAGAACGCGTGGAAGGGGAGGCGCGGAATTTCTCTCATCCCTTCCTGCGAACTGTCGAAAATTCTCACAGCTTCTCCCGCGGCGCGGACGGACGACGCCAATTCTCCCTGCTATAATACTGCGATTCGTTGTGTAAACGATTAACTAACGCCATTGAAGCCGTCGTTTCAAGGGCGCTTCGTGTGCGAGCAACCTGGACGATTCGTCCTTCGAATCTTCGATAACGATGAATCTAAATCTGCGTCCTAAATAACTTTACTTTACTTTGTGAGAAGAAATTGACAATTTGTTTGGCATTTTTTTCTTTTTCTCTTGCAAGAGAAAACTTAGAACGAGACGTTATGAACGCGTTATGAAAATTTTTCTTCCGTGACAAAATTGATAAATTTTCAATTTTCTTGGCGCGCGAGGCGCCTAAATGATGAGAAAAGATTTTAAATTTTACGCTGTCAAGTGGTCAAATAATGATCCTTTTCTCTACAGAGGCAAGGATTTCTTTTCTATTGGCAATCTATAGTCAATAGTAATGGAAGGGTGAGAGTCAAGAGCAATGAAAATAGAAATAAAAATCGAAGATCTCGCCATCTTCTCATAATGACTAGAGTGTGAAACTGATATCAGAGATGATCGTTTCAAGTGCGAGGAACAGGTAAAAATTGCCAATGCAAAGACGAACGCAAAGTCGTTTGAATTTTCGAAAGATGCACCGACGCGAATGAATGAAACTTCAATGAACAATCTCAGAATCGACGGTTCTGAATATTAACGAAGGAACGAAGTGGTTAAACGCAGGTTCGTCGACCGTGTTCGCCCAATTACTCCGTAAGGTAGACACCGGTGTAAATATAGAGCGACTCAATTGGTATTGGACATTCCGAAAATATCGCCGGTTTATTCAAATAATAATTCAACGGAGAGATGGCACGCCACGCGTAGGTGGCACTGACAAGATAATTATAGCGTTTGCCGTCTACCGCGTTCTTACGAAAAGCGCTATACATCAGTGAGGGGCGTGCGCTTTGAGCCGAAAAAAAGACGCAGCAAGAATTCGCTGCACTTTGCTGCCGTTTGCCATGCTCCACGTGCGATAATTGTTACGCAATCTTTGCATGAAAACTGATCAATCTCAAGTTTTTTTTTTTTTTTTTTATTTAACTTCATTATAAGATTCAGTTTTTAGGAAACGAATAGAAACTATTTTTAAAAGTCGACACGAGTGACGGTGAAATTAAAGAACAATGTTTGTAACGTTATTATTCTGTTTGTGTTTTGTAATACATTATAGAGTTGATCGATATGGCTTCTGAAATTACGCGTATACATTTGACGGATGTTTTTATAATTTAATTTAATTACGTGCGTTGCATAGAATATTTCGAAAGTCTATCGACATTTTGTTAACAGAGACACAGATTGGAGCCAATCTGAGAATGCATTTAGAAGATGCAAGATACTTGTTAATTAACATACGTTTACATTAAAACGTGTAATAAATATTAAAGTGTTGTGTTTTATGAATACAATGGACAATTGATCAAATGATTTTATACACTTGTTCTAAATATCTTGTAATTTCTATATATATATATATTTGTTTCAAACTTGAATAATAATCGTCGCAGCCGTTAATAAAAACGTTGGAATATTTTACGTAACACGCGCGTGATGTGTTCGTAAAAAAAATTCCTACGAGCGCTCGAATATTTTCGAGAGCAACTGTATGGACTTCCACCGAGTGGAATTTTAATTATCTCCCGGCCGATGTAGTCGAACGTAGGTCGGCTACAATTTCGTTTATTGCCCAATTTCGTTCGATCGCGCGGAGGAATTGTCTCCTTTTCTCTCGACAAGAGCGAGCCCGCGTGTTCGCCGCGGGATATTAAATTTCTTGGTAACCGGTGAAAAAGAATCGACGATCGCGCCGGACCGATGGAATGGTAAGCGGTAGTATCATAGTCTCTGGAATGTTTTGAAATAGCAGCGCATCCCCACTTCTTCAGCCGCTGTGTTTCTCGGCCGCCTCCTCACGGCCATGTTTGCGGTCCACGAAAATTTTATTGCTTCTCCCCTCGGGAACTTTTTGGCAGGCCTTGCCCAGCCATATAGAAAACAATCGTATAACAGTAAATTTCAATAATATCCGCGTGGCGCGATATACATCGGGCATCCCCTGCTTTCTATTGCACGTAATAAATTTTTTTTCGAAACCGAGTGTTTCGACGTTGGTAATCTCGGGCAATCGTGTCTTTGATTTATAGTTCATTCGTATTATTGCTGTTGTTCGTATATAATAATGTTAACGAGATAATTGCGGTGTATCTCGTATGCATCGTATTAAAGTGAACGTCGCGGTTGCAAGAAACATAAATTTCATCTATTTGATAGACGCGTATTTAATTAAATTTAAATATCGTGCAAATTTTACGTATCGTGATAAATTGCATTAACTGACTGGCCGATTGATTATTTTTTGACTAAAGAATATTACAAGTGAGTGTTAATATGAGAGAAAGTACGAAGAACAATACTGATACTCCAAGTAATTCTTCCTACTATTTTCCCGTAATTCTAGTATTCTTCTCATAAATATTGTTCGATTGTTATGATCTACAAATTCCTTATGAGGTTTAAGTCCACGGTGGCCAATTTATCAATGTTTCATTCAGAATTTTATTGACAATAATTCTACTTACGAAATAATGAGTCAGAAGTGCCTCTCAAAATCATTAAATCCAAGTTTAAGTTCAGAAATCAAAAAATCCAGTCGCGAGACCAGCTTCACTGGCTCTTATTCGCCTGTTTGACAGCTTCCTCCGAAGATTTTCAACCGAAATTGCACATCGACGATCCATTTCCACCCCGTACGTGTTTACCAATCGTCGCTGGCTCGATTGTTACGCTGGCATTCTTTATTTCACGGACGTAAAACGAAGACATTTTCCGATCGAGACGTCGCGATAAAACGAGTAACGCGTCAATCGATTAATTCTCCGTGCGCTGGGAAAGATAGCAAGGGAAGGGAAGCGAAGCGAGGCAAGAAGCTTGAAAGCTTCGAGACTCGTCGAGCGACTGAAATCTCGGAAATTACCATGGATCGTTCTGCTACAGCGTGTCATTAGCAGGGAGCCCGAGAACAATAGAGGCGGGATGCACCTCGACCTCGAAACGTTGACTCGACGCTTACGCCGGATTTTTCGCCAGTAATTAAGGATATTGTTCGTCCTGCGACCTTAGATTTCTATCTCGCCAAGGGAAAAGAGAACGAATTTTTTATTTCAGAGGTGGACGCTTCATTTTTTCCAAAGGTCTCGTTTCTCGTTAGCGCCACGCTCGCGTTTCTTTCTTTCTTCCCTTTTTTTTCTCTCTCTCTTCTATATCTCTCTTGGTTACTCTCTTGGTTGAACGTATTGGAAAATCCTTCTTCTTTTTTTTTTTTTTTTGGATTGAAACGTTTCGAAATAGAGATTTGTTCGCAGATTAAACGATTAATTGTAGAACGTGGACAGAAGGTTAGGATAACTCTACTGATGGGTAGGGAGAAGGTCATGAGAAGTTCTTTTCGAGCGAAATGATTTTTAATACTATACAATGGAAAGTTTTTACTGTACAGTTCATCTGAAACGTATAATTTTGAAGCAGTGTGGATTAAAATCGACAGAATTGATTTTATAAATCAAGTATTGACCGACTGAGTTACGCTAAAGTTGATATTGGAAAAATAAAATAATATTTTGTACGACAAAGTAAACAACTGCGATATAAAATATGTACTCAGTTTTATTATTCACGATACACACTGAATATGAAGTGCATATGAAACGTCCATTAGTTACATGTAAATCAGTAGTTCACATCAAAGTTTAATTCCTAAAACCTTTTAAAGTTTCATATCTCGTTCTCCATTTTGTCGGAGGCTTCAATTAAATATTAAACAACAGTTTGATGATTTATTAAAATACCTTTTACTGCTCATTATCGTCTCCAAATTTCAAATTTAAAAGGAATTATAAGGAAATCACCGATTCAAGGCAATTTTGAGTTAAACAACTGTAAAAAGCCGTGTGAATCACATTTGTCTCTAAACAGAGACCCTCCTTCGAATCTAGTATCGTCTTCTCGATCAATAATTCGAGAAACTCTCTGCTACCTGACACACAATCTAACTTTGACGGATATGCAGATTTCAGCGATCGCTTCTCGCGAACGAACTCTATCTGGGGGAGAGAAAAAAAAATATTTTTTTCTATACGGGCAGCAGACTTGATCGCAATAGGTAGATAAGGGGATGCAGGACATTGGAAAGATAACTTTGTGAACGGAACAAAAGAGATCCGTAAACGGTGATGGCCCAGTTTCGCTTTTGGCTGTAATGGCTGAGCTACGCTCGGTAAACAACATTATTTTGCAATTCCTAATGCTCACTTTGTCTACATCCTACCGGGGCTCGTAAATTTCACGGGGAACGTTCCCCGTGAGTAAACGGCAATCGTTAACGACCTCCTTCAAGAACGTCCCAGCCCAGACTCGGAGCCCTCGCGAATGTTCATTCTCCTATTTAGGGAGAGATTGTTGCGCGTGAAACGGACAATCTAAGAGACACGTGAAAATTATTCAGAATTGACTGAGAGACCAGTGTTAAATGACGCTCGTCAGACAAAAAGCTTACGATAAAAAAGCTCTTATTGAAAGAGGTCGAACAAAATGTGATCGATATCTTGCTCGCTAGTATAAATTCATGCATTCTCTATAAAAAACAACTGTACATTACGAAAATGAAATTCCAACGACACAAATATATTAAATGTTTAGCCGAATTTAGTCGAATTAGAAACTAGAAACAGATTCGCATAGTGAAAAATGGTTACACGTTTTAACAGATGAATAACGTCGAACGAAATGCAAGTGTGTTTATTAACAAACGTGAGAGACATTTTAGAAACGATTTAACCCTTTGCGCTGTAACTATTTTCCTAGTTTGTTCTCGAACTCTGATTCAATTTTTGAGCTAATCTGTTTTAGCGACTGCATGAAGCGCCGCGTCAGAGGTGACTCCAGAGTTCTAAAAAGAGATGGTTTTATCCAGAGGCCAGGGGTGACCTCACGTTGCGAAGGGTTAATCATGAACGATGAATTAATTAAAATTCCAACAAACTAAACTAATTAAAGCGAACGCTTCTTTTTCTATTTTAAATATTTGAAGACTTCGCGCGTATGCTACCGTCGAGAGCGCGACAACGAGGGAATTTTCACATCTCGCAGAACATTCTCGCAATTGTTCTCGATTGCAGTTCGGTTGAATATCGATGTGAGAGTTGTTCACACGTCCGAGCAATTAAACTCGCCGGAGAGAAATTAGATAAACGCGAGGAGGCGAAATTTCCCTGAATTGCGAAGCTTCCAAGCCGAGGGAAAAAAAGAAGAAAGAGAAGCTTTCAACATGACTTCGTTCCCGCTGCTAATTTCATTCGCGTCCAATAAAGAGAGAGAGAGAGAGAGAGAGAGAGAGAGAGAGAAAAGAAAGAAAAACAATTCGAACGATGCTGGAAATTCCACTGATTCATTTACCTGGCAAGGAAAGCGCGACAGACCGTATATACATATATATTCTTTTTTTCCCTTATCGATCACGAACGAATCTAACGCTTTTTCTTTTTATTTTCGATGACAGGCTCGCAACAAACCGGCAGATGGAGTAGGCCACGTGAATCAGAAGGGCTCGACAGGTCAGAAAGCGCCGCTGACTGCCGGACAGAAGGTGCCGCCCGGTGCGAAAGTTGCAGCGAAACCAGCTCAGAAACCCACTGCTCAGAAGGGACAGGTGAAAGTCACGCCTAAAGCCGCTTCCGTCAAGACTGGCAAGAACAAAAAGAAGGGACAGAGGCAGCAGTACGATCTCATCGTCACCATCAATTTGGTGAGTAAGAGTAATTCCCTCTTGTTTCATTTCTCGACGAATTTCTTAAGTTCCAGAACGTCGAGTTTCACCTACAATGGTGATTTCTCAGTGAAAAGGAACCTTGTACATTCGACTGTAATATCATTTTGATGAATTGAACATTAACGAGAATAACTTCATTGAAAAATAACAAGAATAATTTCGCTGAAATTATTTACTTTGATCATTTGTATTTCTTTAAAAGAAAAAAATTTAGCGAGATCTTTTATCTCTAAGTACAATCTTTCTTTAATTCTCACGAGTTTTCCTCGTCCAATAAGAAATAAAATATTGATCGATTATTATAAGAAGCATTATAGTTTGGATATTATTTATTTATATTACGTGTATTACGAGCATATCCATGTCAGTACATTTTCACTTTCAAATTCCGTTAAATTAATTATACTTGTAGGCAACAATTAATTTTGTTGTTTTAATTAATTTACTTATATCTGTTCAAATAATTATTTCTATTATTAAAATAAGAAAGTTTCTAACGCTACGTATAAACAGGCATAGTGAGGCCATTCAAATGATATTTTCAAATGATATTTCCACAAATAACTTTACATTAAAATAGTTATGAAACAATTTAACAGCCCCTAACACAATTAAGCACACACTGCAGTAGAAACAGACAGTCGCCTATCAGACGCGTCTCTGACCTATACTTCTTCATTAAACGACAGCACGAGTCGATAGATGCCTTTATTTTATATTTAAACAATCATTTAAATAAACGTTGACTTAAATAACATTCAATATTGTACACAGTTAACGCGTTATGCTGCAGTAGAAACGAACACTCGTGATCAGAATCGGCGCGCTCTACTCTAATACCGACAAACCGCGGTTAAACGTATCTTTAATTTAGATCATTCTGAACTCTATACGTAGCTTTGTATTTGAACAATCATTTAAATAAAAACAAAACTAAATGACATCAATACTGTGCACGATTAGATACATATAATATATACCAGAGTAGAAACGTACAGTCGTGGTCAGACGTACCGCGCTCTATTCTAATACCGACTAAACCGCGGACAGTAGAAACGGACAGTCGCCTGGCAGACTCGTGTCTCTCGTCTAGACCATCCTTCAGATGGTAGCACGGGTCGAACAATGAGGACGTTATGAGAGCGTACATCTTTATTACATTATGCCGCAAGTCTCACATCTCAATCTTCGTTTTATTTATAATCGGATAGAATCGAAGAAGAGGCAGCTCGATCATTCGCAACGCGGGCGCGTGTCGTAAGCGAAGGTTAATTCGCGTGACGCAAGAGAGGCGATCTGTGTTTTCCATTATCTAAATTGCGTTCGTGTATATTGTTGTTTTTCAAACGTCGCCGCGCCGGGCGCGTTTTGCACGAAATTAAGCTCTGTAAAAATAACCACGTTGTTGCGGCTGCATTTGAGGAAAATTTGCACGTGGCTCACGCGACGAAGCAGGTCAGGGAGTCCGTGGTTTTTCGTCGCGACACTCCAGAAATAGTTGCAGACGCTTTTATCATTTCTCTCCTCTTTCTCTCTCTCTCTCTCTCTCTTTCTCTTTCTGAAGCAACTAATAATTTCATTGCTACTTTTATTATTAATCCTCGTCCGTCCTTTGTTTTTCCAATTTGATTTGACCCTTGATATGAAATTGACACAGCGGGAAAATATCTACAATGAAGACGCAAATAGTTACATTTGCAAGTTCTTTTATTCTAAAAATTTCTATGTTCGATGGCGTGTCAAATTCATACGAATCTCACTCTCACGTGTAAGCCATCAATGAGTTAATTTTCAGTTTCTTTAGTTTCTTCTAAACTATCGTTAACCTATAAGTTTCTATACATATCTTTGAAAAGATCGTGCTTTGGATAGATAACTGTGGTTTAATTAGGACACGTGACTTCTACGGACTTGAAAACGAATTTTCAATTCTGACATGGCATATTTTGTTATCAGAAACGCATGTTCTAGCATATAATATAAATATCGAAAATATTGGTTGCATCTTATACATAATATACTAGAATATATACGACATTTTGCAAGATCAAATGTATCAAATTGACACAAGGGACGAAATCGTTAAAGAAAGTTATTTATCATTGAAGAAAAGAAATATAGTTAATAAACGACAATATGTGACAATATTTCGAGTTCAAGAAACTTGACTCTCGTTGCCAGATGAGGCACAGTACCGACTCGGTTGTGCTAGATCGTCCAAAGTTAGAATATTCGCGACAGTGGTCATAATTACAGTTGATGTCCGTTTAAATCATGCGCGTTCATTCGTAACATTAGCGTGTCTTACTATTGCCAATCAGAAGTACTGGAGATCCTTCTAGTTGAGCAGCTGTTGAATGAACAGGTGCGAAGCGAATCTGTGAATAAAGGTGGTTCTGTTCCTTCGTACCACGGACAGTAGATTCTACCCTATCTTCGACAGCAATACAACTATTTGAAAAACTTTACGTGAACTCATCAGAAAAATGATTTATATAATTTATAATTTATTATAAATATTAAAATAATATATAAAAATAATAAAATTAAATAAAAGTATAATTTATTATAATTATTATTAATTATAATTTATAATTTATGTATACATTGGAGTTTGTGCAATATGCTGTAGGTCGACACTAATTTGAATATTAAAGTAATTTGAATATTCCGAATTTATGTATAATTGAAAGAAAAGGAAGAAGAATTTATTGCAACGTGTTATTTCTTGACAATGAAATTTTACCATCTTGAAGGTTAACATTAATATTCATGTAACTTCAAAATGCTGTAAATTTTGATCAAATTTGCTTGATTTTTAATAACTTTTAGTGCACGAGACGAGTTTTCTTTTCGACCATCGAAATGAATTTTATAGCTTCTTGAAAGTAGACGATTCTTTTCGTTGTCTTGTTTATTTATTCAATCACGTTTGAGAATATTGTATAATGTTGTCCAATGTCCGTTCATTCTGCTCTTTAGCTATGATTTTTCATTAATAACCGATTTTTCATATTCAACCGATTGATTTGAACACTATCTAAAATTTCGCTCGATTGAGCTTGTATCAAGTTCTATTCGAACCGCGTTTTTCGACGTAGCATCGTAGTCGTTTGGCAAAGTGAGCCACTCGCCGTTAACGAGACACGACGGAAGAGAAAGAGAGACGGGGAGACGAAGTAAATATGGAGAAGACTGCCAACCAATGGTCGGGGACCGCTGACAAGTTAAAAACAGCCGAAGGTTACTCAAAAACCTAATGCGCGAATAATGCGACCGTAGAAAGTCGCGAGTGTGTCAGTTTCGTAGCTCGTCGCCGCGGATGAATGTTGAGATCGCGGTCCTATGATTTCCCCTTCCCAGCGGCTGATTTATCGCGCGTAGTATGATTTAACGCCGGTATATTTCAAAGGTAGTCACGGCCGCTACCGTGAAATTTACGTTCGCGTGAATCGCGCGTGACATCGACGCTCGAGTAGAGTGGGAGAGTCAGAATGAACTCGAGAGGAGACGAAGGACTTACCACCGCCGCCGACGAAACGACGTGATTTGCCACCGCTCGGCCAGTCCATAAATATTATTTGTGTCCGGGCGTGTGTGATCTCGCCGGTTCGATTGACGAACGCGCGAGTCGAGGACTGACGCGAGTCGCGAACGTGAGACGAGAGAAGTATTTATTCGCGCGACGAAAAGAAGGAAGCAGAGAGAGAGAGAGAAAAAAAAGGAAGGAAAGAAGGAGACGAGCTTGGAATTAAAAGGCTCGGGTGAAATTAAAGAGAAGTAGGCGACGAAGTTTCTGAAGAGGCGAAACATCGCTCACGGGCCAACTCGCCGGGGACAAATGTAAATTTAAAAGGTGCCTTGTACAGAGAGCCAGGCTGCAGTCGTGTTAATCAGTAGAATTAGTGCGCGCTCGGTCGTCCCTGGCATGACGGACACGGAGAAAAAGTACACCAGCGCCTATGGAAGGCTGCGAAGATTGACGAGCACTATAGACGGCCAGATCCGACAGATCAGTGTGAGTAGAGGGCAGTCGGAATATATGCAGAGATACGATTTTTAATTTCTGGATTTGTTTTGTATTTTGATGTTGCTCTTAAAAGCGTTTCTATGTTTTTTTTTTTTTTTTTTTTTTTGGACAGTTTTTCGTTCTTTTTTCATTTCTGGTGACACTGGGAAATTTGTAAAAGAATTTTGAATGTTGGAATATTCTTAAACTTAGTTGACTTCTGTTGGATAATCATAACATTTTGATTGCCTGTACGAGGGTTAATATGGAATTGACACAAGAAGTAATGGACACTAGTAGCAATTGATCTTTCGAGAAACTGATCCAGACTTCATTACATAAATGCACAATTAACTTTCAATTTTCAAGGAAGAAATAACTTACTATCACAAATTTATATACTACGAGGTTCTGAATTTATGGAATACTTTTTTCTATTTTTTCAAATTACATCAGTGTAGCTTCTAAAAGTTCACACTTTGCTTAACAAGATTAATTTCTTGACAAGTTATTCCAAGTAAACTGTAGATATTTCTATAAAATATTCTACTCTTGCATATATAATGAACAAAATAGAAATTGAAATTAATTTTAATCTTTGAGTATTTCATGTACTTTTGCCTATTGCGAACTGGAAAGGAAATTACAATAATAAGTACAAATTTACTATCACTGATATCACAAAGAATACCAACATATTTACCAAATCGTCATCATTCGTAATTTCCTTCACATCGAATTCCCATCCCATCAGTTTCTCGTCTTTCGACGCGTCGCAGTTACGGCGCCAGTGCAAATTCGCATCTAGCGAGCCGGCATTAGCCGCGTGTTTGACTCGCCGGCATAGAAATTCAAAGGGATCAGGTAAATATATAAATGCAGACACGTACACTCGTAAAACTCAGCCGACTTTCGGGCTGAGTTTATGCGAGCCGGTCCTCGCGACTGCTGGAAAAGGACGTGACCCAGTTGAATACCAACTCTATCCACTCTCGTAGAGGAGCTGCGAAGCATCGGGGCGAGAGCTTTCGACTGTGAGACACGTCCGTTTCGACCGACTCCGCTGTCTCTTTCTCACAGGAGCTTACGATTACACTCGGGCGATATCCATAGACGTAATCCGCCCGGCTACGTCGTCGAAATCGTTTCTCGAATACCGAATCGTAGGGTATGAACCTCTGGTTCGTCTTGGAATTCTCGATTAATGCAAAAACCGCGCGATCGCGTGCAAGCTCGAGAGTATTCGAACGCTTGTCGCGGAAGAGTTCTCACGTGTTACACTGAACGTTTCGAAATGTCATCGAGGCGATCGGTATGATTGTATTGAAAAATTTCTATTTGAAAATGTGTCGGAAAATGTATTTTTTTTTTTTTTTTTTACAAGAGAGGAATGGGCAACTCACGCGTATAATAAAACGAATATGGTTCTATTAAATAGGGTGATTGGACGTTTAAATATTTTTGGAATTTCTACGAAATATATAATCTAATATGCATTAAATATCCAATAATTTTTATACATATTTGTAGATTCGTTTGAAACCTGGCCAATATAATCTCGCGAATTTCTACCCATTCATAGAAATATTTAATGCACAATATTCTGACAGTAATAAATTCAAAATTTGTTTCATTTACCAAACATAATAATTAATATTCTACTTCATGTATATTCTAGAATCGATCTCTGAACTTTAGTCTAGTGATTTTCAGACAACCTCAACTCTCCTAAAATAAATGGAAAATATCTAAATAATTGAACAATAATTGTTATAAATTCGAGTGAACAAATACGCTAATTCCTCTGCGCCATATTCATCGGATCTATAGATCGTCGAAGATTGTATCCTTATAAAATTTGTACTTGTAACTCACAAGTGTAGTACTGGAGGAGAAAGCTGAACCGCAACTCGAGAAGTATAACGCGAATAGTTGCGGAGATGAATATTTTCGACGCATTTGCTACGTGCCTTGATATATAATCGCTTTACGGTGTGCTCGAGACAACAAATCCCCCGACGACTGTGGTCGCTACGATCGTCTTAGAAATAGTTTCCTCGAACCGAGCGCTAATGAAGCTCGCTATAAGCAGTACGGGTTAGTTAAGCTCGGTCGTGAGTTAGGTATCGAGTGATCTATAGCTACGCCCACACCGCGGCGGTGTGGCAATTTTCACTGAAATAAACGGTTGTTTATTCGAGATATCCCATGCACAATTGCACAACGAAAGTATTCGAACGTTTATAGGATCTCGGCGTGTTGATTACCGCCGATTTTTAAGCAAAGGATTTAAAGAAAATTGTTTTAAATTATTAAATATTTAATATTATAAAATATATAGAGAGCTGTAGTTTATATCTTTCCATATTATGTGCATTATATGGAAATTTTGCACTTCGAGATTTTCTAGTAACGAGTAGAGGTGCGCGAGAACCCGAAATAGTAATATTTGCATACTTAGTTTTAAATTCATGGTGACAATGTGTGCATTCCGACTTTGTATCATCTTTTTCTTAAAAATGTTCCCAAACAGAGTCTTTCTTACCTTCTTCCTTTACACGATATCTTCTGCACTGCTTCCTGCTACCACAACTTTATTTTCACTATCACTGACATTTTTTTTTTTAAAGATTTTTAATCTTTATTAAATTCACACAGATTTTGAAATATACGTCTGAACTTCCCGAATGTCTCAGCGAGACTGCTCAACAGCGTACATAATATCCAAGTACTAAGCACGCAGTCACACGTTTGTATACATCAGGTCACACGATTCTTAGAATCCGTGTTTCCAATAACTTGACTGGCAGAACAAATTGAACTGTGTATTTACATATTTTGTAGGCTGTTATACAGCACTGCAGAATAGTTCGAGAAACGGTAGCTGGGTTCTCGAAATTTTTGGGAATCTCGACTTTTTCGGGAAACCCGATTCCTTCGGAAATCTCGAAATTTTCGGGAACCCGACCCGACCCGACTCGACTCGACCTGTTCCTGACTCGTCCCGACCATCGGGTTTCCGATAGTTTCGGGTTCTCGACTAGTCACATCTAGTAACGAGATCCCACTGTCAGAATTATATTACGTGCAGGCCAAGCTCGATAGAAATTTAACAGTATTTGTATGTACAAGTAAAAATTACAAGATATTTAATACGACGATTATCATGTACATTTTACTCTCGCAAAAGTATTTAAACGACCAATTATCCATTATATTAACAAGCTTTTGTACTGATTTTATTAAATCTATATTTAAATAAACATCTTGTTATTTGTATATACATCTTCAGATTGCTCTGGAATTTTGCCGATATCGTCACGATAGTTATCTCTTATCAAATTTTTTAGATTAGATTTCTCAAATTTATATTTTTCAAATTTATAGATTAGATTTCTCAAATTTATATTTTTCAAATTTATAGATTAGATTTCTCAAATTTATATTTTTCAAATTTATAGATTAGATTTCTCAAATTTATATTTTTCAAATTTATAGATTAGATTTCTCAAATTTATATTTTTCAAATTTATAGATTAGATTTCTCAAATTTATATTTTTCAAATTTATAGATTAGATTTCTCAAATTTATATTTTTCAAATTTATTAAGAGTTTAAAAAAAATGGAACCTTGGATAAAGAATTATTTATATATACCAAATACTCCGGATATTTTTTCATATTAGTATCATTATTAATAAAATTGCTTCGTGGTCTAGTAATCATAATCGGTGACTCTTTTCTCGCGTCACCATTGAAGAAGGTAGTTACGAGTGGCGTTGAAAGACAATTGGCCAAAAGTCTGAATGGATAACTCTCTCGCCATCTTCCTCGTTGCGAGTCTTATCGGCTAAAGAATCGAATCGACTATCTGTCAGATTAAAAAGAAACATTCGACGTTCCATTTGCGTTGCGGATTTCGCTAATCTCGCTTTGACGGATTTTATTTTCACTTGGACAAGAATTTCGATCTAAACGAGCATTCCTCGTCGCTCGACGATTTTTCACCGGATTGAAAAATTGAACGAACGTTTTCACGAGAGGGCTCTTGAAGTAACTGAATTGACTGAAACTACTTCATTAAAATGTGCGAACTCGAGTGATGAAAGAACGAATAGGTAGAATCGTACGGTGAATAAATGTATAATGAAACAAATGTACAGATTCGACGAATGTAAAAATCAAATTGACACGGGAGAAAACTATTAAATTCTTCTGAAAAAAAAACATTATTGCAATCTTTATGATTGAACAAAATAGAACGTAAAGGAGACAATTCAAAGAAACATTCCTCTTAACCGCTAATGAAAACAGAAGCTTGATTTGAATAAAAAAGAAGAAACATAAAGATTATAGAAATCTTCTAGTTTCTTCTAAAAAAAAAACTTTCTACAATCGTTAATAATAATTCTCTATAATTGTATAAAATGCAACGTGAGGGAGACGACTCGAAGAAACGTTCTCTCAACTACTATTAATAAGGAGAAAACTTGACTTGAGTAAAAGAAAAATGTTCACAAGAAAGATTCAATGAATGTAAAAATCAACGTAATCTTCCAACCTCTTCTGAGAACTTTTTTACACTCGCTACCCGAATTTTCTCTAATCGAATGAAATACAACGCGTAGGAAGCACAGGATCCGAGGAAATGTTTCTCTTGACCATCGATCGAACTATTAGTCTCTGTCAAGGTGTCTTACATCGGCGAATTCGTTCACAGTAGAATGAACGTGCGAACATTGATAGCGGTCCGCGGAATTGCTGTTAAGTCAATGTTCCCCTAATCGTGTTAGCGGCATATGTGTTCCTTTAATCCAATTAATGTCTATTAATGCTGATTTAACAACGTCGGGCACAGTCGCCTGTAGAAGGTGGATAAGCCGATGTGGCGTTATCGCGAGAGTTGGGACAGCACTGTTAATTGTGCGAATTATGCGTACCCGCATCAACGTCTATCAATGTTGATCAAACGTTCGACGAAAGGCGGACAGAGGTTCATTGATTAACTTGGGTACCATGGACAAGGGTCTCTGTGTTTCTTGAGCGATCTAACGAGTTGAGTTTTGATTAGTGTCACGGTGGATTAGTACGATAGGTATAGCAAATGTTTGCTAGTGCAGTAGTCTGTTTGTGATATATGTCAGAAAAGAAAAATGACAAAATTGAAGCTGATGGTTTATTAGAAAGAATGGAAAACTGAAAACAGGTCGAAATTCGGCGATGATAAAGGAATATCTTACCCTCAAAACCTTAATGCACTTTACACACACACATAGACACAAATATACTCTTATATTTTAGGTCTTAAGATTAGGTCTTAGTTTAGTAATAAAATATTAAAGAACTCCAACTGAATTAGAAATAAAATACAATGAAATAGAGAAATAATTTTGATAAGTTTAATTAAAAATTAATCGAACGGCACTCTGTAAATCGGTTTTGTCGGGTCGCGAAAGAATTGATCAGTCGGTAATTACCAAATTTCGTCAAATTAATGAGATTTCGGTCGGAATTGGCATCGTTCTGCAAACGAGGTCACCGGTGCGCATTAAGTTTTGATGCGACGCCACCGTGACGTTTAAAACAGAATAATGTTTCAATTAATGCTAGACTTATCGGAATGATCAAATTGGCCAATTTATAATTTCACAAGTTTCAGGAAGTTTGATGTACAAATAAAAGCTTGTGTTGCAAACTTGTTCTTTCTTCATACTTTTTCCTATCCTCCAATCCCTTTGATGGAAGTTTTACACTTTGATCGTGTCGATAGTTCTAGCGTTAACACCAATCCAACTTGTCTTACGTCTTTCTCTTTTTTTTCAGTCTGAATATGGGCTCACGGAGGATCAAGTGGCCGGTAAGTGGATCTCGAAAATCAAGTTCACCATTTACACGCTCCTCCTCCCCCGTTTCGTGTAATAAAACAATTTTAACGATCCGTTCTCCTCGGAACAACAGACGGGAACGCGTCAGACATTTTCTCGTTCCCTCAACATTGCGCTTCGAAAAGTTTCTGACTGAGAGTTCAAGTGTCTACGAACGTACGTTAACGAGTTAGAACGAACTTTTTCGCGACACGTGGCAACGCGCTTGTCAGGTACTTGACAGGATGATTTTCGTGACACGAAACGTTACGTCGCAAACTGTTTCCTCCCCGTACGTGTAAAATAATTTCTGCTCCTCGAATATTTTTAATTTTGTTTCTTCGTGTCTGTCCATTAATCTCCGCTGAAGTATTTTAACATCCACGTTCGTATATTCATTTGATATATTTATTTGCTTCATAATTATATTTATTTATAAAATACATATAAGTATATAGACACGTTTAAATATCTTTGTCTTGAAAATAATTTCTTTTCATTTTTATAGTCCAATTGTACAAGTACTTTTGTCTCCTTTTTGTATTTTAATCATTGAGATGAATTAAATTCAGAAACCTTCGCAGAATTGTCATTCATCTTCAGTTACTCCACTCTTACTCGCGTCAATTAAAACTGTCCATCTCGACAACATCCATTAATTGAATTTGTTCATTTCGACCACAATCAGAATTATAGTAAAAAAATTCTACTTGAAGTACAGTTACTCAAAGTATCCTACTACTTACAGAAGCTCTTATTTCGTGCGTCGTTTTGAAATTCTGTCACTGTAATAATACACGACTGTCACGGTCAAATTAATGCACTTTGAAACAAATCTAAAAATATTCAATTTATAATAGCCATTTAATACAAATTCATACATGTATTTACGATCGCGCAAATCTGTTCAAGTATTCTCACTACTTATAATCGTGTATAAAATATGAGCAAGGTACAATCGTGCAATTTGCGAAAGTAACTTTACGTAAGTGACATGTCCTGTCACTTCGCGCTGCTACACGTACGTACGTACGTGTTGCACGAAGTATCGTGTGTCCCTGCCTGACGTGACTGCGATCATCGGCCATGCGAAGTTGATTCCTTCAACGAGCAGGAAGCTTTCCGAAGCTTTTTTTCTCGCGATGGCACGCGAACGAGATATGTACGTACATATCTCTGTAATCGGGCCGGGAAAACGGCCGGTAAGGTGAAATTGCCCACTCGTTTATGCACATTAATACATCGTCCGGTGTTTACGTGGTGATAAACGCAAAGTGAATGCAGACCGATCTATACGACAAACGATAAGATCGGAACGACTTCGTCTACTTTAGTCTCTTTAGTCGCCTATTGTGCGCAACTGTTGTATAATCCGTCGGCACTTTTATACCTAAATTCCTCTCCCCTCGCGTGACTTATCGCGTCGTTGAGAGAGAAGTTGTACTTTCTGATCGACAATTTGCCAATTTCATCGTGGCCTTTCTAACGCTTCGTTCTTTTGGTACGATTCTACGTGGAACCGTGAGTCGAAGGTGAAGAATAAAACCATCGTGCCAATTCTTTTCATATTCATCTTCGAAGCAATTGACAATTAATAGTTGCGTAATTAATGATTGCACACGATAATTTATTAAACCCAATTTTCGTGGAAAGTCCTCGAGTAGAAAACTCTTATTCTCCAATTTCGTTTTATTTTTATATATAGAAATGTCTCCTGTCAAGATACTTGATACTCCTGTATATATATATTTTTTTATATAGGATCACCTTTTTTGTTAATTACACTCTGTTCGACCATACTTATTTCTCCTGGAAAATCTTCGTTCCACCATGGAATTTCACACTTTTTTCAAAGATTAACTCGAACGCTACTAAACAAAACGAAAAAGAAGAAACACCATCTAAACAAGAGCCATCGAGGCACTGATTGATAATACGCATCAATATCCGTGAGAATCGAGAACGCCTTTTCAAATCTGTTCGTTGGTCTCTCAGCTTTCATCTCTCTCATGCCCTGTCGAATGCTTTTTCTGATTTTCGCCAAGGGAATCCGAAACCTTGGATTCAACCGGAGCTGTTGTCATTTTTACGATAGAAAGTACTGTATTTGTGTATTTAGGCGACTCTCTTGATGAATGAACGCTGGAAAGGAACGGGACAGTAAATAGAGAAAAAGTCTGGGATGAAAGGTAGACGATGAACAATGCCGATGGAAGCGTTGTCTCGTACAGACGTGCTGACGAATCGGACGAGACTGCTTTAATGAACGCACGGTCTCGTAAACTATTCTTCGTGATCCTCTCTGTCGAGTGTGGGATTTTTGCTGGGACGGTGCAACGGTACTCTCGGACGTTCGGGAAATTTATTAACGGTGCATCTCTCACAAGAAGCTGGCCGTTTGCCCGACTTTACATAATTTTCTACGACTTGTACACTTCTGCATACACTTTTGCTCTCAAGAGTTTGTTTTATTACGCACATATTCTTAACATTAGAACCACCAAACTGGTCAAAAATTTGTAACTTTTGTCGGATATTTTATAGACACGGAGCAATAGCGTATTTTTAGAGATTCAAATGATTTTTTGTAAGATATATAAATGAAAGCTCCAATGTTTCGAACTGTTTTTTATTTTGAAGCCCCTGACGGAAATTTTGTGCTTTTAATCGGTAGTTCTAGTGATAATTATCCTTCTTTTATCATTATCTTTATTTGCCTTTTATTTTATTATTTCACATACTTTAGTATCGTTCCATCTACTTACGTTATTTCAGTTTTTTATTAATTAATTTTTTTATTTTAAAAATATTTGAATGTTCGGTACTCATTGTAGACAATCAGATTTTTAAACTGCGCGTGCACTTTAGAACAGAAACAATGCGTCAAGCACTTGTTCAATTGCAAAACCAAAAAGTCACAGTTTTATATCATTTGTGTCATTTAATTTCTCTGGTTTTCCGAGACAATCTCAAAAAGTTTCAAGACTTTTGAGCCAGAGTGTGCTTACACATACATTCTCAACAGTACGACACCAAAAGCGATCGTTGTGTGTATCGTTTTATTGCCAAACCGCCAAAGTTTTTCCTCGCTGCGTTGTTATTTACGGCTCGGTTGGACGACCCCTGGAATTTCTACAGAAATCACCGCATCGAAAACACAGGAGCAGAGAGAGAGAGAGAGAGAGAGAGAGAGAGAGAGAGAGAGAGAGAGAAATTATTTTCGTGTTTACGGGAGCGAATCCAACGGGAGCATTCCAATCCCGAAATCGATGGAAAAACAAAAACGAAACACGTATAGTGTTCGATTCAATTTGATCGGGCTCAATTTTATTGGAGAGAAGATACAACACGTTCAAGTGATGATACTTGATCTCTCTGGTAGTTTCAGCATCATACCTTAATGCGTAAGAGTTAACCTTTTTTGCACGATACCGATAGAATCGAAGGTTTTCGCGAATCATCGTTCGCACGAAATGAAAAGGAAAACGGTTGTTATAAACTGTTGTATGTATTGGAATTATTGGAAATTCGTTGGTTTCTCAAAACGAGCAACTTGTCGTTTCAGAATTCAAAGAGGCGTTCATGCTTTTCGACAAAGACGAAGATGGCACCATCACGATGGCGGAACTTGGCGTGGTCATGCGATCACTGGGACAGCGACCGTCTGGTAAGCGAACGTTCAGAGTTACATCGTTTGAAAAAGAAAAGAAGAAAAAAAAAAATTAGAAATATCCGGTGTACGATGCGTGTTGCCCACGTGTACCAAGGTAGACACGATCTGGCTAGAAGCCACGAACTGACGAAAAGCTAGCCGCTCGCGGCCAAAAGATATAACGGTAATCTAAACCGCCAACTCAACCGCTACATTGTCTATTAGCTACCAACGCAAGGAGATCGTTCATGAAATTCTACAATTGTTTTTATTCTGACCAGAGACTGAAAACCGAAATATTTTGAGGTTTAGGTATTATACCGGTAAACTGAAACTGAAATATTGTGAGGGTTTAGGTATTATACCTGTATTTGGGAAATCAGTTTTAATACCGGTATATACCGGTATGGTACCACTTTACTGACGAAAACCCATTTTTCTATGTACAGTGACTCTTATTAATATTCGGACATCATGCTATTCAAAATATTGTTGTGGATTTCGATTGTTTATAATAGTAAATTTGGATTAATTTTTTAATAATATAATNATGGTAATGGTTAAAAACGAGTATACGAGAGAAAAGTAAACATTTTGTTCTTGATTTGCTCGAATAATTAACATATTATTTATACAATCGTCATGTAAATTGTAACGATGCGGCGATAAAATATATTTTAAAGACGAAAAAAGGCGTTCGACGCTTACTTGTGTTGATGGAACTGCTAAAATTCCGGCTGTTAGGAAAACTCAGTTCCCATCTCGGACATCCCTAATTGGCCGAGTCGTTTTTGGATTTTAACCGATTAGGTTTTTTCAAGAAATTGCGCCGCCTACTCCTTGCGTTCGTAAGTACTTTTTCCGAGAGTGGGACTGCAATTTCGCGATTTTCCTAATTTATGGTGGTATAGCATATCTGGGCGGGCCCTTGGAAACCTAGGGTTTACGACGCTTCGCGGAAATGCTATTGTGGCCGAATTACTAAAAACTTCGAGTGCAGATGTCTGGTCTTTATGCACTGTAAGAAATAAACTTGGCCTTCACTATTCAATAGCATAGGTGACATGTGAGTCGTAAATTCTCCTAACTGCACGTCTGAGAAAACGACTTTCTCCGACATCTGCTAGCCGCTAATATAAATAAAATAAAATAAAAAACTAATAAAAAAGCTAATAAAAATAAATAAAGTGTATAAGCGTCGTCAAATTTACTATACAGCTTTATGAAAACATTTAATCATTGTCTCCTTTTCCTTTTCTAATATATTACTATTTTATTTACCGGTATTATACCGGATTCATACCGGTATTATACCGAAACACATCTACCGACTTAACATCGTTATACCGGTATTCACACTATTTCGGTTTCATCAAACCGAAATCGAATAGTAACCTAAAAATACCGGTATTTTTCCGGTATCCGTAACACCGATTCGGTCTCTGATTCTGACATTGTGAATCACGGTTTGGAAATTGCAAGCAAGGTTCATCGGTTCGTTTCGTTTCGTATTGTTTGCATTGTGTGAAACTATGAAATGAACGATTCTGAAACTTTTATTAAATTAATGTATATATTAATGTATATATGTGGGATGGGCAAATTTTGGGAAAAGGTCCACTTTCTCCAGTGCCCAACAATTATAGCCAGATGTCCTTAGGCCTGGGACTTGGGAATGTTTATAGCTAGCCCTCCAGGCCTACCATTTAAGATATTAAGGATATGGATGCGTTTGTGTGTATGTGTGCATGACGAATTTTTGTGCAGATGAAGAAAAAAGTGAATTTTGAGCAGTCAGAAAGAACAGAGTGAGTTTCGAGCAGTCAGAGAGAATACAGTGAGTTAAGAGTTGCGAGTCTAGCAAGTTTAACAATTAAGAGAGAACAGGGTAAAAAAAATCATTTCAAATCATCATTAAACGAAATTTCTTATTTTTTAACCTTATTAAACAACCATCTTTTACCAAAATTACTACAAATGGGGGTCTCAAGTCGGGTTTCTTACATATATAAAGTTACGGACAATTTAAGCACATAATAATAGTACTATTTTGACTAAATTTAATTCATATCTATTTCCATTGCCTGTCCACTCAATTTTGTCCGTAATTGTATATTTATTATTAGTCTTGTTATTTTAATTTCACTCTCGTACATTATACGTTTGTACTCAGAATAATTTTGTTCTGTACACGTTAACGATTCTTTTTAAATATTCTCCCTTGTTGTTTATTGTATATTAGAACAGCTTGAAAAGCTAGAATATTTCACACAAGGAATGAGTATACAAATTTTTAAACGCAGTATAGCATTGAGTTAAATTATCGAAAGTAAGCTAGCATCTAGAACCATACTGTTTCAATGAATTCCACAAAGAATGAGAGAAATATATGACTCGACGAATGATTCAACCAACGAACGAAACAGACGAGCCTGTAAACAAATGAAACAAATGAAAATTTCAAGTGAAAATAAATGAACGTGCATCTAATGACAAACTGAATAGCGCTGAATGCTTGATAAGCGTTAACCAGATGGTTGAGTAACGCGGTTCTTAAACACTTCTCTCGGTTGTACGATTGCGAAGGCCGGGGCGGCTCGAAAGTTTCACGCGGAACGCAAACTTCGCCCCGAAAGCGGTTCTTGCTAGATTAATATCCCAGGCGGCAGTTTGAAGGTTTTCTAAGACAGGCGGGAGAGTTAAACGGGGTAGAATTCCTGAAAACTAGGCTGTGACAAGAGCTTAGGGGGGGAAATTACTTTTCGGGCCGATTCTCTAAAGCTCGGCGAGAGACTACGACGGCGTTAGGCGCACCTGCAAACGCTGGTAATTAACTACACGTCGAGTTCTTCTGTTCTTCTCTCCCCTCGTCGTTCCTCGCCGCGTCCACGCAGCGGGAAATTAAATGTCTCTCTCTCTCTCCGCGAAACGACGATGAATGCATTACACGCGGGGATTAGAAAGAGGACATCGAGAAAATCGCATGTCGCGTTCAAATGACAATTAAAAGGCTAGCTAACGAAAGAGAGAGAGAGAGAGAGAATGATTCTTATTCGTGTTTGTCTCTCCCTCTGAGAGAACGAATGAACACTCCGGCATTTTTCATTGTTCCACGTGTGTCTAATATATGCATGAAACGTCCATCGTGGAATTTGTTCAACGAGTTTATTTCAGTTCATGGCATTATCGTTTAATGTTTAAATTGTAACTTACTGAATGAAAAGGAAAGGTATGTTTCGTGTTCAGAACTGCGCGATGGATATTAAATTAAATCAAGGAGCAGTTGCTAGGAGATTTTATGAAATGTTGATTAAAATTGAAGTTTCAGAAACGGTAGAGGATACGGTGAAAATAAAAGATCAAATGTATAAAATATGATTATTATGACATATTTGGTAGATCAAATGAATCTCTATTTAAATTCCAAAGGTCTTTTCCCCTTCCGTAAAAAGTATATATTAGTCAATTTCGGGTTTCAGAGACGGAATTACGAGACATGGTGAACGAGGTGGATCAAGATGGCAACGGTACCATTGAGTTCAACGAGTTCTTGCAGATGATGTCAAAGAAGATGAAGGGTGCCGACGGTGAGGACGAATTGCGCGAAGCGTTCAGGTACTTCGATGTTCCAAACGATTGAAAATAATTTCCTTAAGAGTATGAACGTCAAAGGTGGAACTTCTGTTCTCTAGAGTGTTCGACAAGAACAACGACGGTCTGATCTCGTCGAAAGAGTTGCGACACGTGATGACGAATCTCGGGGAGAAGCTGTCGGAGGAAGAAGTGGACGATATGATCAAGGAAGCGGATTTGGATGGCGACGGAATGGTGAACTACGAAGGTAATTTATTCATTCGTAAAAATGTCTGCCACTCCTGGTAATTACATGACATTTCTCTCTAGTAAACGTAATAAAATAGATCTATTCTGTTAATTACAATTTAATTTGCGAATTAATCAACGAAACTTGTAGCCTGTGGACGTGAGTAGATTTTGCTCTTCCGCTCAAGAACTTTGATATTTCACGTGGATTGTGAATTTTCAGTTGTGCAGACTTTTTGGTAAAATTGTCATACGTTAGAAACGTGTAGTTTTGTTTTTTTTTTTAATTTGCAACTGTTACAACACGTAGTTCGTCAATTATTTTTTTCAACTTTGGAAGAAACGTAAGTGTTCTGTTCGGAGCGATCTTCACAGAACAAAATTTCTTCTGGTAAATTCTTCCGGCAAGCAAGGATATCAGGAGTTGTAATCTTCGTCTCTAACTGAATGATTATTCGAAAATTTCAGTAGTCATAAGAACTAATCTTAGCGATAAAATATTCGTAATTAATGGCAATGTACATATCATCAGCGAAATCGTATCGCCCGCAACGACACACGACAATATTTCCACAGAATTCGTGACAATCCTGACGTCGAAGAATTAGTTTGGTGGTCACGGATCGGACAAGAAGCTATCCAGCTGCCGGAAGTCTTCGTCGAAGAACAAAATCAAGCCCGTGAAGTTCCTCTCCCGAGCCGTAGCAGGACGTTCATTCACTCCAACCCTACCGACTGCAAAAACTCGTAGAGATTACAACAACGTACTAAAGGGAAACTAGCTGAGAAATCTTCGAAGAAGCTCGCGAAGCGAAGAAAGATGGAACAACCGCGCTGTTACTTATCTTCGATTCGACGAAGAAGACGAGCTGAACCGAGTTCAAGTTGAATAGAATTTACGTGTGGTTCTCGCAGCTTTTTTCCCCGCGCGGAGGTAAGTCGGTAAAATCGGGAAAATTGAGAAACTTGTCTGGTGAGCGGTGGAGTGACGAGCGATGGAGTGGCGTATTGGAAAGTTTTAGAAAGGAAGAATGAAGAGAGAGAAAAAGAAAGAGAGAGAGAGAGAGTGAATGAGGAGGGTGACTTCCGCAGTTGCACACGCATACACCCATACACACCTCGCTCCTTCGAATTAATTTTACAACTAATAAGCTAGCGGAACGACATTATACGTGAGAAAACCGAGTGAGGTGCCCGCTCCCGAAACAATCAACTGAGCTTCGTTTAGCGTTTACCTACCTATACTACCTATACTCTCTATTAATGCTATACAACGTCGTTATTGATATCGTTAGGTAATCAAATCGATCCTTCTGCATCCAATTTTCACCGATCTCTCATTCACGCGATGCTACTGGCATGACGATCTCGTTCAAGCGCTAACGACAGGCCTAAAATTGCACTCTAGGGACGCGCGCGACGTCGACGCGACAGATCGTGTGGCATCGGAAAGTACAAACAGTGTCCAGAAATTGTCTCGCTGAGGTTCGTCAAGAAGAGGCCACAGCTTTGTTAGAGACGTAGTTGACGATATTAGCTCGATCGAGATCGCTTTGACGACGCAACGTAATGGTAATCAACCGATTAACAGCCAAGCGATTATTCGATCTTTACACTTTAGAAAATTTTTATTCGAATCTTAGAAGTCGAGCGCGCGATAACAATAAGATACTAAAGCGAATCTCGTTGGAATTTCTTCTTTCATAAGGAAAGGAAATTTTTATTACATTAAAAATTACATGTTAGTTAATTTCAAATTGAAAGAACCTTATCAACGGCGAGTCAAATGGATCCTTGGAATTCATTTTTATAAGAGAGTAGAACATTTTCATTATATTGTTAATGTTCAATATTGAAAGATAACCAACTCGTTGGAATTTTGTCAGAAAAGACATTTATCGCATTGAATAATTAAATATTAATAGTGCCGAATTGAAAGATAAAATTTTGAAATTCCGCACTAACTTAGGTTGGCCCTTAATGGGTTGATTATCGATGCGTTGGGAAGCAGTAAAAATTGCCGGATACCGAGGACCCGCAGTGAAACGATCGAGAATGCTTGTCATCCCTTTTTTTTCACTTCTCTGTCGTTCGATCGGTATTGTTCCTCCAAAATTTGGTAGACTCGCTTCGTAAACGAGACGAATCCTCCCGGCTCGTTGTCGAGTCGTACTTGAAACATTTAACCGTCGTTAACAACCGTGGCCGTGGGACTCGACGCGAGAGATAGCGTCTGATCAAACGATCTGTCTTCAAATTTAGATGAGTGTCGCTGGCAAAGTAGATCTATAGTGATATAACGATGATACCTGCCCTCGTGGCAGAGTTTTTAGACGCATGTTCACGGCGGTCGTGCGAACAATACGATCGTTGGAAAGCAAGAATCAAAGCAAACAGTAGCGGATCTTTCCCTTAAATGTACCAATTTAGCCAGTCGTGTATAGCGATCTCCGCAGTTTTAGTTTCACCGAGTTCGTTTTATACAGGACGATTTTCTTTCCTCTTTCTAAGGCAGCTCTTCCCCTCGAGGAGAGCTGAAAATCTCGTGGGTGTTACCAAGAATCTCTTGTTGTTAGTCCCGAATTTATAGATCCTCTTGTCCATTGTCCGTGCTCTCCTGTACCGAATACACCGTCCACCTGAAGAAGAGAAAAAGAAAAAAAAAATAAAAGAAAAAAGAAAGAAGAAACACCTTGACATTCTCACTCCGTACACACACAGGCCAACTGTACTACGTCGTGCACCTTTTAGATCCTTAAGATAAGAAAGCCACAGCCGTAGCTCGCGATAGATGATAGTTAATTAGCGCGTAGTTGGAAGTACGTACACGTAATAAAATGATGCATTATACACATACCTATTATATATACCTATACATGGTGTTACTACCGGAAAATACTTGAAGTAACGTTATTATGGATATTCATATATATATTATATATTTAGTATATACTTATACATACATACGTACATATGTTATATATACATATACACGTTAGCGACCGTACGTCGGTGGTATACTGGCATTGATATTTTTATGGTTTTAAAAAAAAAAAAGAAAATACTACAACAACAACAACAAGAACAAGTATTAGTGTCAGAGAGAGAGAGAGAGAAAGAGAGAACGAACGAGCGAAAATGTGAGAATGAGTGAGAGAAATGAGGAGTGAAAGAGAGTGAGAGAAAGCAAGAAAAATATCGGTTGGTTGGTCGAAGCGCGGTATAAAAAAGAGAGAGAGAGAAATATATAAAAAGCGCGTGTACATAAAACGAAACATTCAGGCAGAAGTGATTACGAGAGATGATTACGGGATAAAGATGAATAGAGAGGAGCTCTTAGAATCGCGTTTTACAAGGTGATTCGTTTTATCCTTAAATGAGACGTCGACGGATGGAATGCGAAGATATTACTATTGTTATCGTTGGTAATGTTGGTCACACGAAGCGGTGATTTCACAAACGTACTTACACGACATACTTACACAGATAGAGATAGACAATAAATTCTGTTGTTTAGTTAGGCGACACGCATATATAGTTACATTGCGTTGTACGACTCGACCGCTGAATGGGTAAGTGACGAAATTGCGTAATAAAATTGCGACGAGACTTAGAAAAGGGAAGGGTTAGATGCCCGGAGAAACGAACGTACTTACCCAGTTATGCGATCGTTCTTTTTGGCTGTCTCACGCTTTTGTCATACGGTAGGAGAGTTTCAATATCGTGAAAAAGGAGCTGCAAATATTTTTGACTTCTTCGATCATTGGCACAGATATTGCGGGCTTTTGTGCATTTATAGGAAATTCGAAGATGCATAAGCTGCATAATATGTGCAAAAAATATATGAAATATTCAAAGTAGAATATATTTAATAAATGATATAAATTTTATTATTTAATGAATATTTCTTCAATCGTGTTCGTAAATGCATAAAAGCCCAGAGTTTACTTATTAATTTATCTACTATATTCTTATATTTTTTGGCTCTTCAATTTTCCTCTACTGTCGATGGAAATTAAATTCTGAGATAAATTAATGTCTAACAATCATTAATTATATTTACCAGAAATATCGGTATGTCGTTGTGCATTAGTGCACTGTGTTTGAAAGTGTTAAATTACTTGTGCATCATCGACATAGTGACTCTTCGTTTCTTAATATATTCTTTCCTCAATATATATTATAATTATCATTTTTATTTCTTTCTCGAAGCTCGTCGAACTCCGATACTTTGGTTCAGAATTATTCTTTTCGTTCGACGATAGAAGGATAAAGTTTACGTTGACAGCCGTGTGACATCAGCGTGACGCAAAGCTACGCACAATGTATGATAATTGAAAGAAAGAGCCGCGGGCTATGCAAACTTGCGAAAGAAGGATATAAAAGGAACTGTAACATGCAAACATAAAGACAAAACGCTTCGACAGTTAAAACATAAAGAGAAAAAAAGAGGAGCTCGATAAATCGACACAACACATAGTAATGTATAACGTCCCGAAGACAATATCTTTAACGATTTTATTAAAGGAAGCTATTCGAGATTTACCTCGAGAGAAGGCCTACGTTTTGCCACGTGTGTCCGCGAGGAGATAGATTCGTAGAAAGATGCTCGAGAAAGAGAGAGAGAGAGAGAGAAGCAACAGAGCGAAGGTGAAATGTTAAAGAAATGAGGTGTTTTGTGACGCAGGAATTACGAGAAAGGTGCTGTTTATCTTAGACACCGTCGATCTTCTTTTATGTTGTATCACTCGTCTAGATCACACTGCACATTTTGTTCCAATTATTTCGCGAACATTCAGAATCCTCCTTTTAACTTAAACGTACAAATCGTACGATATTTTCCTTGAAAGATTGCGACGAATGGGCCGGTTCATTTGGATTTACGACATGCACGGAATTTCACATGCACCCCATGAGTTATTATTTCCAATTTCTTTCTTTCCCCCTCCCCCGTCTTTAACCCGGGATTACCCACCTGGGAGTCTAGTGCAGGTACATCCCAGCACTAGACTCTCACGTGGGTAATCCCGGGTTAAAGAGAAAATTATCGTTAAGAGTAAACGTTAAACACAAGTACAAGGAATCGTCAATATCTCTGTATATATCTCTTTCCCGAGAGAGTGATTGCCGAATCAGAGACCTCGGGATCGCCGCATTGATTGACGTGCAGTGAGACACAAACGGGACAAAAGGGTGGCTCGCGATTGTGTATGGGAGTATTTTCGATTCGCAAGGCGACACTTAAACGCACACACTTGTCACGCGCGCTGTAATAGGGTACCTCTCTCATTAAGACAGATCACTCGCGATCTCGCGGGGTCTCTGATCGTCTGCACATTTTTTCCCTCCCCAATCACTTGCGTACTTGTCCCGCCATAGCTCCCTGTGGCAATAAATATCCCGATCTCTCCCCCCCCCCCCCTCCTACTCGGAAGACGCGTTAATTCCGTTTTGCAGATCGCACGATGCAGGAAGTCCTATTCGATCGAACCCTTGAAAGCTATTTTCGATGCAAGTCACGGCAGAAATTTCATCCTGTCTCATCTCTTCCTTTTGCATTCTAAAATTCAACAGAGGCAGCAACAAAAATTTATTATCTATTCAATATTAGGCGAAAGATAGAGATATTCTTGTTTGCAATTGGTTATAAATGGAGAGTGGATTTTTATCTTGTTGTCTAGTTTAGATATTGCGTGTTATGTACATTCTGTTAATTTCTGCACTCTCTCAAACTTTCTGAAGTTAATACTACAAAAATTAAACATTGGTGGAAAATTATTTCACGTAAGTGTTGTATAAAACGCTACGCCTACGTTTGGTCATATTTTACACGTTCAGATTTCCTATAAACACACAAAAATCCGCAATCTACTCGTAAATAACATTGCATTTATCACGAAACGATAACATTAAAAGGATATGTTAATATAGGGTGAAATTTCGCCTGTGTTTTTATGGATCAAAGTAATTCTTTCACGCGGGAGTGGCGACAAGTATATTATAGCAAACCCAGCCCCCTACCGAAAAGTATTTTTATAGAATACTCTTCGAGCCAGATACATTACGACATCGCGTTATATTGTATTCTGTATATTACATCACCGTATACGTGCGTGTACAAATTGTATATCATATTGTATCATCCTACTCTGCTGGCAGATTTCATTGTAGTTATTACAAACGTCACGAGTGACGAGCCGAAAAAAAAAAAAAGAAAACGTTTGTATTCGTCGCAAGACGGCAGTTATCTGTTAAATTGATTATGTGAATCGTCCTCAAGAGGAGTAACGCAAGTCTTCCTTTTAATCTGCACTGTTCGAGGTTCGAGGTGGTTCGTACGATTTAATTAAACGCGGCGTACCTGCTGATTGCGTGTGTTACTTTTACGCGAAATGATTTCCAGACAGTGTCGCTCAATGTTGATATTTTTGCGCGTGTTTCTCAACACACAGCCCACTCCCCCTTCTCCCGGAAACGAGTCGAAACAAGTTGATTCGCCTAATCGTCGCTTGCGTCTGTAGATCAGATTTGGCGGCACGTTAGAAAAATACTCGAAGACTAGTCTTAACTGAAGTACGTTTCGTTTCGACAAATGCGAATTTCGAAAAGATGTCCAGACCAAGTGTAAAAGCGAGAGCTTTGTTTTGTACTCGATAACTCTGTTCTACTTTTTTTTTTCTCAAGGAAATTCCGACAAGTTCACCCCTCACTTGTTTCATTCGTATCGATCCTGTACGGTACTAATAGAACTTTGAGAATGACGCGAGGCAACGCGAGATGTTCGAGATAGATACGCTCGTGTATTGCAACTTCTATTGTGAACTCGTGTCTATGTTTTAGACGGGGTGGGTTTCGCTCGCTGAGTAAACAGACCCAGCGAGCGGAGCTAACAACCGTGACAATTTCATAGATGTTTGATGACCCCAGCCGAAGTTCAAATTGTTGCTATTCGAGAGCTGCATAGGATCATCATTTCGTTCTGAAACGTCAAAATTCTGCAAATTAATTCCGTCTCTTCTCTTCCTCCAAGTCCTATGCACTTCTTCGAGTTCTCCGCTTCGGTTGATTCCTGTTGTTCGAAAGTTCGCTAACCAAAAAAGAAAAAGGAAAAAAGTTATCTCAAAATGTTGTTGCTGATACTCTCGCAGTACATGATTAAACAATGTCCGTAATCGAACTTTTCGTAAGGGAACGCGTACTTTTCACGAACGAATCTCAAAAACCCGGAGTCACATCCGAAGAACGGATCAAGGACCGCGTAAAAACAGGGGAAACGAAAAATTAGTTGATATCAAACGAGTTGAATGATGCAAGGGTAATCAAATAAATATATGTACGTTGCTAGGTACGAGAACAAAAGTGAAGAAACCTCATTAACGTAGATGTATAATAATTGTAATCGTTAAATAAGTGTATAACTATGTTGTACTAGTTACGAGATCGTCTCGTGTCTTGATAAGCGACAGTCATTCTGCTACGACGAGATTTTGTTACGACGAGACGGTCTCTCCGATCGGTTGTTCGTTAGTATAATCAAATGTATCTACTGTTTTCTCATCCATTGGCTGACGTGAGAGTGCCCGCGCTTCGCGAACGAGATCGAGAACTAATGATTCTGAAGAACTTAATGATTTCGAGAAGCGTTTGGATACCGATTGCATCGTTTGAAGCCCGGAAGATTCACGATTCGTTGATCAGAGGATTTCGTGATCGAGAAGATTCGGAATTGCACGATCGATGTTACGCTTTTCCTTGGTTCGGAGTTCGTTACGTGCCATCGTTTAAAGGGTACATACAGAGAAGAAAGGCCAAGAGTAAACGGCATCAATCAAATTGTCGGGGCTAGTGTCAGAGACTTCCGAATGATAGTCAGTCATCGCATCGCGAATCCTTTGATTTGGCAAGATTATATTTGCGTACGAAATGCGTGCAAAGCCTTAACATCTTTACGCGTTAATTCCGAGACACCTGAGGAGCTCGGAAGAAAAAGCGGAAAGGAATTCATTTTGCGCTCAACTTTCAGTTTACAAAATTATGGTTAATAAAAATTTTACTTCGTGAAAAGAAGGATGAGAAGATCTTGAATAGAATTTCCTCAGGTGTCCGAATGCTACACGCATTGTAATTCTTCCCTCGTACACTTGCTATTGCTATCGCATGTTTTCTCTTCGGTTCGCCTAACCGTAAAAGCGATCTAACATAGTAGCGTTACAGCTAGGCAATACAAATAATATCGTTGAAACTACGACCCAAACGCAATGATGGTCATGAATAATTATTGTAATAAGAAAACGTCTTTCATTACTTTATTAAAACGATCGCCAGTACAAGTCGTGTTAGTTAAACGAATATACAATGTGTATATCCAAATGTAGAGGCAAGTTTTGAAGGGAGACCCGTTCGATAGGTCTTTGGTTTTTCGTGGGGTGCAAAATAACTTCTAAGGGATAGAGGATAACGGCGTGTGAAGGTGTGCGGATAAGCTGCGTTAACATGTAATAAGAGAGACAAATTATCTTTGAGATGTATTAAAGAAAAAAGAAAAAAAATAATCATAGCGTAAAAGAAAAAAACAAACTAAGTGAAGCGAGGTTACACCAGAGATATCGCACTGTGAACGAGAATATTTATATTTTTACTTGAGAAAATGTTATAATAACGTTTGTAATGTCTAATTCCCATCCGGTAAAAGAATGTTTATAACGTTATTTTTCTAGAGTATATATCAAAATACTTATTATTATGTTATGACGAAACGTGCTCTCAAGCAAGAGGCAAGCGAGATCTATTGTAGATACAATACGTATATTTATTCGTTGTAAGTATTGCGTTCGCTTCGATTAATTCATTATCTTTACAATTTTCTCTATAAGTAGCATGTATGTATATATATATATCAATAATAACACTTGTAATAGTTACTATCAAACTTTGAATCTTGTCGCGAGTGCTCACGAGGAACGCGCATATTACAATTACAACCACTGTGTTTCTCGCGGTGTTCACTACAATTTTACTGCTGTAAATATTATTTACATTTAAGTTGAAGAAACACGTGAATACCTCTATACGACTAACTGAAAAATCAATGGCCATTGTTTATCGCTACAGAATAATATTTCTATAGATTAATGAGAACATTGTTTGTTCTCATTTCCTTGTTCTCTTTAAAGTGTCTTAAATCATTGTAATTTCGTTCTCATATTGAAATGGTTCCATTGTAAAGTTATACTCTTTAGTTAAAATATTCAAAGGGCGGCAAATTTGATTGTCAGTACAGACAATGAAAAGGATGCTATTATGAAGCAAATTCTTTCCTTTCGCTTTGTATCTTTTTCATTTCGTTAGAAAAGCGATTGGGATAGGAAAGACGAGAACGCTCTCAGTTAATGGTTGTCATAAAACATTGTTATACGTTATTTCTTAAATCTTGTCATATATTTGTCATTTACTACGACCGTTTGTTAAAATGTTCCTTTGTATCTTCATAGAAGATATTTCGTTCTCTAATTGCGGTCCTTGATGGATGGCTTTTAAATCAGATTTGTTCCACTCACGTTTCGTCGTAAAGTGGAGAAAATAAAACGGAAGTGCTGGAAACTGTGGCGAGAGTGCAGTATGTATGGTGTTAGCTGTATGAAATCATGTTACGTGTAATGTTATGTACTGTAAGATTAGAATACATCATAAAATGGTGATGGCGTGTACTGCTGGAATGTAATACATGTATCGAGTTATCCCTAAATACAGCCATTTTATAATGGACGTTTATTCGAGGTTCGTTTCCCTCTCTGTTTCCACACTGTAGACAATATTAAATATATACAAGAGGAAAGGTTGCACAGAATATTTTAAACACGGATGATAGATGTCTGACTTAGAAATCGTTTATTAACAGAAAAGTTAATACCATCATCCATACAAATTAGCTTCTTAGGAGTATCTTAGTACTATGCCATACGAAATATTATTATTATTATTATTCTTACTTATTCAAGTATCTCGAATATTGAAATTCGTCGATGCTTCGATTCTAAAATACTTTGCCCAAGAAGCGATTATTTTTTTTCTTCTTCTTTTCCTTTTGTTTTCAAACGAAATGATTGATTTTAAAATTCCCACTCACTCACTGCTCTCAATTGTCGTATTTCGATTATCTCGATAATCGAACGCGATCGTATGTTCCCGCGCATTCCACTCGCCGCTCTCTCTCAACACACACGCGACTAACTACTGAGACTTTACGTTGTGCTAGAAAATACTTTCAGACAAGTAATTAAAAAGTATCAAAAGGTGGTCGCGTCTTAAGTGTAACGTTTCATTGCTATCGTATCGTTAATTGAGAGTTAATCCCGAAGATTAATCTCGTAACTAAGAAGCATGAAAAGACGTGGGACGAAAGGCCGTTATCGCAGCCATCGTATCAACAGTACTTTCGGTAGTGTAAAAACTCAATTCTGATTACACCAAACGATATACTACAACGTTCTGCCTGTAATTGGGTGATTTTTTGTTTTTCCTGTTTCTTAATGTTAATCTATAAATTGAAATGTAACATCTATTACGTGAATATTGACACTGGGAGATATTAAAATCTTTGGCGTCCATTTGTAGTTTCGTTAATAATTATTATCGTTTCTTTTTTTTTCCCCCATATTCAATAACAGAAGAATGGTAATACAAAAAGCACATGTTATGTAAAAATAGAATAAAATCTACTTTGTTATATTTCCTGCAGCGAAACCCGTAGTATAAAGGTTTCAATTATGTATATCATGGGTAATTTTTTTACAGGTTAGGGTTTAGATGTATATAACATTTGGTAGAGATCTGAATACTTTACGTTGAAATTATATACTTTTATATAAATTATCAGCATATTGACCGCGAATGTTCCTTTCTTTCTATTTAAACACACTAAATAAGCAATTAATTTTTTTTGACAATACTGCATAATCATTTACAAAATGTTATCACGACTATAACATTTTAACATTTCAGTTTGATAATGTAACGAATTTTGGATTTCATCATTGTAAATAACTAAATAACTAACAGATTGCATAACCAAAATCATACAAATCTTTTTTTAGATCACTTTTATCCTGAGTTATCTTAACTTTATCATTATAGTTCATCCTTGAGTAATGTATACCTGTTTTTGCTAGGTGCTAGTTTCTTAAATGTAGATTCCGGTGGGGTTGTAGGCACCTTAATTTGTCCAACAATTTGCGGTACCTCATTACTGCTAGGATCAGGCCCATAATGAAACTCCCTATGTAACTTTCCTGAATATAAGTCCCGCAGGAAACCTTTCAATTTTCCTTCTATGTGAATATCGTGGAAGTTTGGAAACAGGTACATGTGTCTAAAACTATCTATGGCAATTAGAGGCAAATCTGCTGGAGTCTTTCCTAAATGATGGAGAGGATGGGCAAACTTTACACCATCTGCAGTTAAGAAATTTATATTCTCTGAAATCAAACAGAATGCATTTATTCATCTTTTGAGAACTAACTTTCTAAACATTTGTGGTTTAGCTCTAAACATGTTTTACTCACGTTTTTCATCGATTAATGTCCTTGTCACTACATCTTTATACATTTTAACGCTCTCAATATCATGAGGAGCATGAAACAATATAAGAAAAGGTAAACCTTCCTCTGTTAATTCCTCAGCATTTTCAAATGTAATTTCCCTCACGAGGGGAACACATTTTTCTTGTGCCCAAACGTTTAGTTCATCAAAGTTGTTCAAACTTCCATGGTACGTTTCATCCTCATCATTAGAAAGTGCTTTATCAGAACGGAAGACAATTATGGGTTCTCCTGGAGGGTGCATAGCTTTACTTGCATTCCTAGGTATATTCCCAATATTTAAGAATTGGTTTAAATTTTAATTTGTATATATTTATCGAACAAAATTGCAAGAAATATTCAGACATTATACATTTACACACATGCATTGTACATATGTGCAGGCTTTTAACCTGGGATTACCCACGTGGGGGTCTAGTGCACGTACATCCCCGCCCCTAAACCCCCAGGTGGGTAATCCCGGGTTAACATAGAAAAATAGGTTAATATAAGAGAAAACAAAAATGAGCAAAAATAGATAAAGGAATACCAAAAGAATAGAATTTTGTGAATAAAAATATATCATCTAGATTATGCTCAATACTTACAGAAAGTGAAAATGTTCCCCAATTTCACAGTTTTGAGCTGAGCATTGTCTTGTTAAAGAGAAGAATTATATGTATATGAAAAGAGTTATATGTAAATTATAGAAGCATCAAAGAAAATTTTTTTGAGAAACATGAGTCAATGTGTTAATCGTTTATATACTGGTCATAAAGCAGTTGGACACTTAGTGAAAATTTATTGTTAATTTAAGCACTTATAAAATTGATTCATGAAAAAAGTCAAATACCAATCAACTTTGAATCATTTTAAAGCATGAAGTCTATATTTAGAACATAGTATCAGAATCCTTACCCAAAGCCAACATGGAATTGGCAGTCATCCTTAAGATTAGTGGCCACTCTCCTAAACATTTCATATTCAGGAACATCCTTCCTATCAAAATATCCAATGATCATTCTCTTTTTATCATCTAAATTAGTTAATTCCTTTAAATTATAAAATTCCTTAATAGGATCCTCCAGTTGTTTCTTTATAAATTCCTCAAATGCTTCTACAGATCGTTGACCTCTATATTCTCGTTTGGTTGGTTGACCATTTCTTATCACTTTTAAAGTTGGATATTTGGTGATGTGAAATCTCGATGCAATAGAAGCTGATAAATAATTGTTTAATTCAGTAATCAATTCTTCAAGTATAAAATTATTTTACTCACATTCCTTTTCACAATCAACTTTTGCCATTACAACTCTTCCTGGTTCAGGAAATGCACTTCTTATTTTAGTTGCAGCTTCTTCAAAAATAGGGGCTAATGAATTACTAAAACGGCACCATTGTGCATAAAAATTTATAAATACCAATTCATTTGACGCTAAAACATAATAGATGAAATCGTAATGTTTACGCCGTGGCAAAAAATCGTAAAATATTGATGAATATAGATTTTTATTAGACTACTTACCAAGCGTCATATCGATATTTTGTTGAGTAAGGGATACCGCTCCTTCATTTGCATCGTTTGCTAAATTGTTTGGCAAAAATGCCTAAAAGATAACGCATTTAATTGTTTTGCTAACGTTATCACTTTGTGTAATATTTTTACAAGACATCGAAATATTACCGCGCGCCCTTTGCGATATTTATAACACGATAAGTAGGATAAGGAGAATTAAATTGGAAAGAATAAATTAAAATAACAGGAATGGATTGAGAATTATAATTTTATTTTATGAAAAAATACTTTGGCGTTAGTTTTTATATATTGTGTTCAATATTATTAAATTTGAACCATCCGCAACAGATGTGTACAGTTATCAGTATTACTTTTAGAAAGTATATTTAAGAAATTTTTGAGGTTATTTTATGTGTACGTGTACAGGTTATGCCAGATTATAAACAGTGAAATTAGGTTCCATCTTAGGTTGCCATTAAAATAATTCCTGGTTCATATCACAGAGGGTTATAATAACGGGAGTTGGACTTTCTAAAATTCATAAACTCAAATACGTGTCACACTTTGTTGGCGGTATTTAAAAAAACAGTCGACTTTCTAAAAGACAGTATGATATGTTATTTCGATCGATACTCACCAGTAGACAGGCAAATGCAAATACTCTGAAGTCAAAAATATCACAGAAGACCAACATGTTATGATCTTACAATAAAAATTTGATCAGGCAACACTTTTTTGAATAACCATCAGTAAGCAGCTGCCTCTGCATCAAATGCCATGAATTTGCGGTACATCGATGCCTAGTAAAATATTCTCGAGACATCGATTTCCTAGGGATGGCATATGTATTGCATAAATTCTCTATGTTAAAGTTATATCTTTGTTCAATTTCCACTTGGTATCATTCTGTCTCGTTTCATTCCGATATCTCTATTTTCTGTAACTAATATTTACGTTTCTAGGAACTTTTGTAATGCATTACAAACCGTAATATTTCTCTAGCAAGTAACCAATCGCATTCTACTACGTTTGTACACATTGTACGCAGTGAAAAGTTACCAGACGATTCAAATTTGTGGCGGTATTTCGATTCTTCTGCCAGTTTCTTTTTTAAATTAAAAAGAATATTAACAATGTATAGATGCGAATACCTGCAAAACTAATTCTATATATAACATTTTTAATCAGGATCGTTTTTTTTCTGTGCAAAAATAATATGACTTATATTTTTTAGATAAATATTTGAGAAATACCACTAACTCTATCAATGTTATTATAAAATATTCGTTTTGTAATCTTCGATTTACAAAATCCATTATTAATTTCAGTCAAGTGTTATACCATAAATCTGTTAATAAAACTGAAAGCACATTCTAAGTAGGTCCGGTAGATTCCCTTTTATGAACTATAATTCTTTTCCTATTTAAATTCATTCCTTTTCGGAATATTTTATTGCGGAAATATACAATAAAATAATAAACGGTAACACAATGGAAAAAATTAATTAATGAATACACAGAGAACGACAATAAATCAATTCTTCAGATATTTTACTTCATATTCTGCTTTTCGACTAAAATTTTAGTGTTCAAATAAACCTAACGTAATGTCTCCCACTTTTCATAAATACAATAACTACATTATAACAATAATACAATAGCTGTACACTATAACTTGAACATATAATCATGAAGAGGTTGACAGCTGAACATTTAAACCATGCCTTCATATCATAATCAACGAAATCCAATTTTTCCATTTCGGTTTATTGTACAGATTTCTCGTTCCTTTCTCGTACTTTTCTCGTACCACGAACCTTTCTAAATTTCACATGTTATTGATCGATTGCAACGTACAGTTAGTCGAGTATCTTCCCTTTCTGTGCGCTTAAAATAAATTCGATCGACAATTAATTTAAATTGTATTAGTTCAGGTTGCATCGATGTAACGAAAGCTTCTGGATGTGTCTGCTCGACCAGGTATAGCACATATGCACTCGCTTGACATAAGTTTCCGTCAATAGCCTGGCTAGAATAGGCAGTCGGAATGACTTTGAATTCGTAGAGGCCTTTATACCTTTCTGTTGCCGACGTTTTTAGTCCTCTCTGCAGGGGTAGACTGCGAGGAGGACAGGGGTGTATTTCGAATGTGCCGATGTCAATCTTGTATCTGAATGGGCCAGCCGCACGTTCGTAACAGCTTGTCAAATAGTTGCTCGTGGATTTCGTCGAAGTTCTTACGACAAGTACGAAATTTCGACTGCACATTTTTATACGCGTGTAGATACAAGTGTCGATACAAATTGACTTGACGTAGATCATGATTAACGCGCCAGGGTGACACTTATTTGCCGGTGTCTCTTTGATACTGGACCGGGTGCACCGCTGGATACTAGTTGTACAAACGAGTCTGTTGAAAGATAAAACCACACAATACATGGGGCTCCACATTCGACGAATATCTCCCTTCCGAGAAAAACTGACGCGAGCTTCGGGGGCGGCACTGACCTTTGCCGCGACAAAACGTGCCGACTTTTCCCTAAAAACAGGAATATTCGAATAGACACACTTGTGCAGAGACACGTAACTAGAGAATTTTTTATTTTTGATCTTTCTTCGTGACGAATACCAAATTTATCTATAGTTATTTTATTATCTATAGTTATTTTGATCTTTCTTCGTGACGAATACCAAATTTATCCATATTTATCTATAGTTATTTATCTCTGCTTAAATTTTTTTTTTAAATAAATAGATAATATCTGTAGGGTAATTATTAAAAAATCATTGAAATCGGTGTGACCCTCCCTTTTCCCCTTTCTAAATAATTACCATCTGTAGTGGTAGTTTAGTAGAAAAAACTTTTGTGGAAGCTAAATAAAAAGAACAATTTTGAAAACATGAAAACACATAGGATTAATTGACAGCCATCGGTGAATTAATTGTATTCCATTCTTATAGTCGTTTAATTCTAACTCTACTTGTGATTTTCAACATAACACATTCAGCACGTGATAGGAGTTCAAATTCATATATGGTTCCAATCAACGAAAGTTCATTTAATTAGATACCAGCCAAGATTGGAGTTCTATTGGAAAGTTTTTTTTTTCGATAGATCATTCAAAAAGTTGGAAGAAAAAAAAAAATAATTCTGTAGAAAGTCACGGGATGTTCGCGAAATCATTAATTTTATATCAAAGATCCTTTTTACGATTTTACCTGGAACAACGTGGGTCTCTGAAAGGAAGCAATTATCCATTTTACTTGACATGGGGTGTATACGGGTGCTAGACTTGTTTGATCAGTTCGGCCATCCGCGGTCGTTTGGGTTTCTCGTGATTCGTTCCCGAAGGTTGCCACACAAATCATATTCTCAGTCGGTCTCGTAGTCCAGAATCCTCTCGTTTTTCTTTTTGACTTTCGTCGATTCTATCGTCGCACCAGGACCCGCGCCACCCTTGCAACAAAAATGGTCGGTCGGCACGATTGAGACAATAGAGAAACCATCGACTCGCTGCCTGCTAATTAAAATCTATCGGTGAAAGACGAGCCGACGAAGGGTGAACATCGAACCATTTTTTTTTTTTTTTCTCCTCGAACTACAGTCGCTTTCCGCCAATGTGTCCCTTTTCATGTTCACGCCGGCCATTTTGACTGCTTTGAAGCTTTATAGGATACCTCAGGGAAACATAGTGACTGAAAAAGTAAAAGAAATTAAAGCAAACGCGATAGCACGTAAAGTGACAATTGACCGATCATTTTGCGGTTTATTTGACTAGTGAATTTAGTTAATTTCAAATAATTTTGTTTCGTAAATTTATGTACAATATTTAGATGGTCGATTATAAGAAATTTTAAAGAGCACAGAAATCGGACAACATGAAAAAAATATATAAAAAGTGCAAGCTAGAACTCTCTCTGTAATAAATAAAAATGATGAAAAATTTAATTGTATTATTATAGATATAAATCTGCAGTCTAGCAGTTAATCTTCTTATGATTTAATCTATAACAATTTTGACTACATTAACTTTCGACCATTTACTCTAGATAATTGGCTAAAGGTTTTAAAATCCTTAGTTCCTATGGCTATTTAACGTGAGGGCTATTTCATTTAATACGATTTACTTCATTTAATAAGAAGTCGTCTGTTGTATTTCTTTATTATTCTTCATCTGGAAACCTTATTGTTAGCCGGTCGTCAAATTTCTGGAAATTTTTCAACGTTGCTGACTTGTGCACTTGCACAATTGTCTATTGATTCGGCACGATCACAAAGTGCCGAGTCGTTGCGTAATGAATCCGCAATATAATGTGACGCGGCTCCCTTTGAACGCTCGATATTCTCACGGGTCCTATGAGGTACCTCGAGGTTGCTCCCTGATTCTGGTTCTTATTCTATCGTTTCTCTCCTCTTTTTCTCTTCTTTTTTCATCTCGGGCGCAACAGGTCGTATTGTGACGTGGGTGTCATTCCCTTCGAACAGAATTGGCGGTGAGAGGACCCCTTCGGCTCGATTCTTACGATTCTTTCTAGAACGGAGCACAAATTTATGGACTTGGGACTCGTCGTTTTCGAACAGGTACATGCTTTCCTCTTGTTCTCGCACCTTGCACACCGTTAATTCGTCCCCTCAGAAATGTGTCTTCGGCGTCTTTGATAGTCTGGAAACAAACGTGGTGGACTAGGCTTAAAATGACGTAGGTTAAGTAATAATTTCAATTTTTGATCTTTACGAACTTTCCCCTACCTATAAATATAATTTATTATCATTTAATCGAATAAAATTATTGTAATTTAAGAGAAGTTAAAATACTCAATTTTTCCAATTCTTAGTGAAATTCTGAGACTTTTGAGCAACGGTGTACACCAACGCCGATGTTCAACCATAATAAATGATTATCGTAACGCAACCATAACCTCCTTGTACGCTACTACAACGCTTCCCTTAGTCAAGTGATTAATGATGATACACTGTTTGCTATCCATTCGTCTGGGCCTGAACAGGCCAAAACACACTAATCAGACTATGAAACGTAAAATGTTACTCAAACAGATTCCAAAACGATAGATTTACTTTCACCAGGTATTAACTTTCAAAACTCCTCGGTAGTATAAAATTTCAATTGAGCTTTCATAGTTTTTTTTTTTTTTTTTTTTTTTATATTAGCTGTTTTCTTTAATATTGAGCTTCCTTTTTCATATTAGCTCCATAGGTAAATATTAGCTAGCCAAATACTGGGCTGGTGACTTCAGGCTGCTCAGACTGTTTACATAGAAGGTGATTAGCGATCTTCAGCACACCTCGTAATCTCTTGTTTATGGTCTTGTAATCCTAACCCGATTACCAGCAATGCGCAAGTTAGACAGGTCCGACTAATCTTGTTCCGTGGCAAGGTGCACGATCCGATCACCCTCGAAATGGGCCTTCTTCCCTTAAAAAGAGAAAGAGAGAGAAAGAGAAAAGTCGTGAGCGACCACGTTACACCGATCATCGTGTGAAAACTGCAAAGTCCCGCTCCATTAGCTCCGAAGACTAGTTCCATTGTCGGGATCTATTGTCGGGGAACGTGGCTTCGTCTCTTTCTTCCTCTTTCCCTTTTCTCGTTTCTCTCTCAACGGTCCTCGTCTTTTTTTCTTCTCTTCTTCTTCTTCTTCTTCCTCCTCCTCCTCCTTCTCCTCTCCTTCTTTCTCCTTCACCATCTCCTTCACGTTTTCTTCCAGATCCGAGCATAAGTTAGAAGACCCGTCAAGACTAGTGACCTGCTGATCCCGATGTTGCTTCCTTCGGTCAGGTAAATCGCGTATAAAATTGACCCGTAGTGTGGAAGAAAAGGTCCGACCTCTAATGACGTTCTCAGCGAACGGGCCATCATGATCATCATCAGGGAAAATGCCTTTGAGTCATCACCGAGTCAGGCCAGCGCGAAGGCGCCATTTGGAATTGTAGAAAAACCCAGAAACGAAAAAATGGATTTCCAGGGCGAATGTAAAAAGCAAAGTATATCACCGTAATTTTTAATGTTCACATTCGTGTTGTTACAGAACTGTTTATCGCTTTTAACTGTTTAATTATAAAAGTTCGATGAATTATAGTAGCGTTAAAAAGCGTTTCCGAGAATATTAACTGCCGTACGCGATACTATAGCTTTTTAGAAAAGAGAGCCGAAAGACTTACTGCCCGAAAGAAATATGTTACGGGACTCTCTTCGTACGAAATAAACGCCGCCTGGCATTTTTCTCAACTCGTACGATCGACGAACGGAAACTGTTGTTTCACGTGCGCGCGTAAATCCCGGGAGAATATGAAAAATCGGGAGGACAAGACGACTTCTTATTGCAGGCTGTCCAAGTCTGACCTGCGTCCTTTTGATTTGCATCGGTCCATCGCTTCTGAATGTTTCCCGAAGACGCAAAGCTTTCGCAGAAATATCTGGAATGCACAAAACGTACTTTACACCCCCGCAGGCCCTACCGTTTACCGATTTGATACACTCCACAAGTGTCCGCGCTTGCAGTCTCGATCGTCAATCAGAGTAGTAAATTTTTCGAAAAATTTAGTCAGCTAGCGTACGGTGGCCTGCGTATGTAATTTTAAATACTTAAAAACAGAGAAAGACGGTGACAGTGTGTGGATTTTAATTAATTTAAATTAATTGTGTGCCTGAGAACAAAATATTTCTCATTTATGATACGCTTTGAACGAGATATCTCGCAACGCAGTATGATCATTCGTACATGACGCTTGACACGAGATACGTATAACGCACGATTTTGCATTTCAATCAGAATTCGAGGTATCTCGTTTAATTATTCGAATAAAAATTAAAGTCCTCGTCTATATATATAAAAATGTCTTGTTTTTATAAATTTCTAAATGTCACACCTATGTGAAACGCCATTGATTTTACAGCAAGTAACAGAAAAATTAAGTGAAAAGGTGTATTCAGTGCTCGAAGAATATTAACACCATCCTTAATTTCATCTAAAGGAAAAAGAATCCTGTCATTGAAGGAATGTACCGAGTCATGTGAAAGCTGCATTGATGAAACATGTATTTCAAACACGTATAATTAGCAACAACAATGACTTAATATTTGCAAGAAAGCGTGTGAACCTGCGCATTCCATTCCGAGCAATGATTGATCACTTAATGAATAATGAGTAACACAGAATCATTTGCATCAATGCACTATAAATCATTATTTCGTTTAATCACAAGGTAAATAGTACGTAATAGTATGTAAGTGACCTCTCGTAACAAGTGTAGATACGAGCATCTTAAATTTCGCAATAATCGCGGAAGGAGGTGGGAACGAACTTTAGGAAAGAATGTTCATCCGTCATGGGGATAATCATCCGCGTGGGAGTACTGTTTACCGTTGGAATAATTTACCCCTAACTGAGATGTTAAGCGGCTTATTAGGGGACAATGGCAGAGCAGAAGGAAGTAAAGGGCTGCTCGGGGCGTGCCTTCCACTTTTCATCTTTTTACTGCGATACTGTGTTACAAGATTTACAACAACGTTACAGTTGCAACTCTCGGCTGGACATATGTCAGACACTGCCGTCTGATTTCTATGCGTATTATATTTTTGGCAATACGACGCTTTTGACGAGTATGACAAATCCCCGGAGAGATCGAGGATGGTCACTGAAAAATATTTTGGATGATGGATGGTGTCTGGTTGTTTCTCTGTACACGTGATGCCAGATAGCATTCCCTTCGTCCCGGAAAATAATAATCTCTTTCCGGTATGCACGTGACGCATCAGTGATGCGTTTAGTGATTTGGACCTTGACCACGTTATCCTGGACAGTTTATCGGAATTTGACGAATGCCTTGTAAAAATAATGAAGGATTTTTTTACGGGCTTGTGAAAGAACTTCCGTATTGACTTTGAAGGCGTGCCATTTTGTTGTTCATCATTTTGTCCTTCATCATCTGTCAATAGTGAAGTTAATATTATCGAGACAAGTTGGTGCTTTAAAGCTGAACAAACAGATTTGAGATACGGAGTGGAAGATCGTTCGATAAAAATTTGTGCACACAACACTTTGAGAAACAAGATGGACATACAAACTAATAATGCATGTTGGTGTAAATAATACTTACTGTATTAATACCGACAAATGTCTCTGCTAATACCGGATAGTACAAACAAAATCACAATAGTACAAAAAAAAAAAAAAGAAAAAAATAATCATCTACGAAATATTCGTTTACTGGAAGAAATTGTTATTTCCTTTAAAGATTTTAATGTGCTCTAAACTTTTGGACCGAGAGATATGTTTGCGACGATCGAGAATGGGGAACGTTGACAGAAGACAGCGGGTAGTCAAACTGTCTCACTTTGGAAACTGTCTCACTTTTCTTTACGCGCCGAGTGCAACGATTTTCTTTCATCCTTGCGCCAACAGATTTGTCGCTGTACCTGCAGAAAACTTCTACATGCATTGTGTGTTCGGCAGAACGCAATAATGGTGCCTATCTGGCAGTGATCGGTAGCACAAAAGCGTCGTCACTTTGTCTTGCCAATGATCGTTTTACGACCATTACAAACCGACACTTTGTTCGGCTTGTGTAACTCGTTTCCAGTCGGTATTGTGAAGGCGATGTTCTAGCAGATTTATGGATACGACGTACGTCGCATGCAGCAGCTTGAGAAACTCTTGGTCTCTGCGTTATCACGCAGGGTTTCTTCACGCTTTGATACGTCTTTGCAAATCTCGTTGGTTTCTGTTCCGCCGTTAAATACTAAGAACTTCACTTGGCCACTGTAAGTTTGCGTGATGAATTTGGTAGTTCCTGCGTAATTTCTTTGCGAGCTACTCTCAGTTACTGGCAGTGTTAAATAGAAAATAAAGAGCTGGATGATTTTGTCAGTTTGACGAATTGAACATTGAAAAGAAAAATTAAAAAAAAAAACTGGCTGATTTTATCAATTCCATAGAATGTCATTTTTCTGCAAGAAAATTACGTTGCTGTCGATTGTCAAATATTAAAATAACAAGAAAACGTAAAAAGTTTTAAAAATTGGTTCGTGAAAATGTAATTGCTCAACGTAAGATAAAATACAACTTTTTTGCCGTGGTATAATTGCGATAACGTGCATCGCAATGGAAGAAACGTTCGGCATGCAGCGCTGCTAATTAAACTGAAATGCCTTATCCGCTAATTAAATATGAACGGTTAAAGCTTATTCCACCTACCGTTTCTACCGATAATTATTACTCTCTAGATCGACTGCTCCTCGAATCTTGGGCGGTCTGGTGCAACAATTCTATCCGCTGGTCAACGATTGCTATTTAAAAAGATCTGCAACGTCCGCTGGTCAAGTGGACGAATTCGAGAAACATTTCTTCACCAAACCAAATAACTATCCGAATATTCCACATGAGAATGGAATTTATATATATGTTTTATATATGTTATAAACTAAAATGTGTTTAAACGTAAAGTGAAAGGACGTGACCGAGACGAGATACTTCATTCGTAAAATACAGAATAAATTATGTAAATGAATCACGCAAATGCAATCACAATTCGTACAAAGTATCAATAGCGTCTTACTATCAATTGGGATGAAACAACCGTTATGTTTATTTTGTGACGAGTCACAGAACGTCGGAAGAATACGATTGGATTCTCCATAGCATGAGGCAGCCCTCAGGGACGACTACAAAAGGTGCGTAGCCTCGATCCTCGATCCTCTATCCTTGGAACGCAGGGTTGATTTATGAGTGAGTAGAGGGGAGGGCGCATGCGTACAAGGCCGCAAGATTCACTGGGGTCTATCCCCACTTCCGTAGAGAAACCCGGCAGAGCATTCAGCCTCCTCCCTTCGACGGTTCCTTGTCCACTCGGTTATTAAAACCGATGCGACACAGTCGGCAACCGGTAATTATCAAAGCAGCACACGCTTCGTTCCCGATACGTTGTTACACAGTTTTCTTGTCCTGTTTCTGTTTGGTTTTTTGTTTTCATTGTCGTTCTGCACCGTCGTGGCCAATCAGTGACCGATCAAGACCCACGGAAATACCTCGTCTTCGAGCTTGCCTCGCAAGCACGCGAAAATTAGCACCAGAGTCGATCGGTGACTGTGAACGGGACGGAGGATCTAACAGGAGTGATAAGTAATGCAAAACACACAGGTCCGTAACAACGATTCTGCATATAGCGGTGAAATTCAAGTGTCAGTTGAGTGAAGATTATTTCCCGTCAGTCAACGTGAAAAGGGAGTAAAGAACGCGAAGAACGCGCTAACGAAAAACGATAGTTCTGGTTAGTTTCTCTCAACTCCCTCAAGTTCAACTTTCAATTTTAGCCTCGGAATTGGAGTTTCATTACACAGCTCTCCTTCGCTGCATCAAAGATTTATATCAGTGAATCTTCAAATAATGACATCGACACACGACAAATTGTTAATTTGAAATTAAATAGGCGAAACACGGCTGTCTGAACGATCCGTTTCGAGGATCGGAAGATACCGTATCCGCGCTTTCACGGAGCTTCAAATTCATTTCAATTTTATTCATATTACAGATGTGTCTTCCAAAAGTGTCACCAGTGCCAGGTATGACGCCCATGTCCGACCTGTCAATGCAGCTACACCAACCTGTTACCGTCGATTACGGAACCTCTAGTATCCATTATCAGTCTTACAACGTCGATAATGGATACTCGAGGCCGACATTGAGGAATCATCATTTTCAAAGTAGCCAACCGAGCTACTGGTACCCTGGAACCTCGAATCACAGCTATATTACAGAGGCTTTAACGCCGCCGGTGTATACGGTCGCGAGTGGTTCCACTTCATGGACGGCACAGAGCCATTTTACGGAAGCTCAGCTCGCAAATGTACAAGTTCAACATTACGCTCTACCGCCAAGTCCACCGGACGTTCCGCTAAGCCCTCATGATCATTGCTCGACCTATCAGTGGCCACTCACTTCGCCGGATCATCACTTCCTGACAGCGGAAGATCCAGCAAGGTCTGGCAGGAAGTGTATTAGATGCCGTTGTCCGAATTGTCAGACGGACAGTGGAGCTCATTCGGGAGTGGACGGCAAGAGGCAGCATGTTTGCCACGTACCAGGATGCGGCAAAGTGTACGGCAAAACTTCTCACTTGAAGGCACATTTGAGATGGCATAGTGGCGAACGACCTTTCATCTGCAACTGGATGCTCTGCGGCAAGAAGTTCACCAGGAGTGACGAATTGCAGCGTCACCTGCGAACGCACACCGGGGAGAAGAGATTCGCGTGTTCCACGTGCGACAAGAGGTTCATGAGGAGCGATCATCTGACGAAACACATGAAAACCCACGAGAAGCAAAAAAGGAAGAAGGAGTCAAATAAAGAGAACTTACCAAAGGCGCAAACACACAGCTCGTATCATTCCGCTGTCGGATCGTACATCATGAGTTAAGATCTCTGCATTTGAAAAGCTGCTGGACGTTTCTATAGATGGTATAGTGCAAAAGTATAAGAAACAAGCCTGTTTAAAAAATGATGTAGGAACCAAATTGGCTTAATTCTGTGTATTATATCCGTCCTGTAAATAATTCTGTTTGGAAAGTTTTTTATAATTATTTTATAATTATTTTATTGTAGGGTGATTAACTCTACCTATAATAGTTTGAAAAGTTTTTTATAATTATTTTATAATATAATATAATATAATATAATATAATAATTATTTTATAATTTTTATTGTAAGGTGATTAACTCTACCTATAATAGTTTGGAAAGTTTTTTATAATTATTTTATAATTATTTTATTGTAGGATGATTAACTCTGCCTATAATAGCTAAATAAGCCAAAAAGGATCTCGCATTGTTTTGGCGGCAGAGAATGGAAGGTATACATTACTTGATTCAAAGGAGTAAATTACACCAGTAGATAGATTTTTTTCAATGCAATATTCATCAAGTGTCTTTTTTGTAAAATAGCAATGTATATTTTAACGCAGTAGATGTTTAACCGTATCAACAAGCGACATCAAAGTTCCGAAAAATACAAACTTGAAAAAAGTTTTCTTCCCGATTTTCATTCTGCCATATTCTGTTTGCTCCTTCACCAGAAATGTTTTCCTTTAATTTTCCTAAACTTGTTGAGGACAATAATAAATGAGAGTACAATTAATATAACGAGTCTAATAAAATTAATATAACGAATAAATAATCAACTGTATTGCATTCAACTACGCGATACATACTGTGCGACGATCGAACAATAACAATGAACAATAGCTCGCGTGCTAACGAGATCATCCATATTGTCTCTTTCCTTCTGAGGCAAATGATCCCGTCAGCATCTCCAACGTTCATGGGCATAACGATCTTTTAATATCTTTCTCCTCCAAGAAAGAATAGATAGAAAAATATTTAAATAGAAATGTTCAAACTGATTCACCTGGATTGTAGAATTACATATGTAACGTGTAATATATAGTGTAAGTTAATTACATATGTAATATGTATAAATTAATAATTTGTTGTACATTGTTTCGGTTCGATAGACCGAGCAATATATGCGATTTGAGGCGGATAGCGATCGTGTGGCGAGTTGGTACGATTTCGATCGAAGGATCGAAGATCACGTTACTCTATGATGTATAATTGATTACCTACTTGTAACTGATTAATAATTAATTAATTTCTAATCTCTATTTCACGCGAGCCAGTTTTATATGATTTTGTTTTCCATCATTTCCAGGCAATCATTTTATGGCTCGTTTGATTTTCCTAATGTAAGTCAGGTAAAGTTACGCAATTGGAGCATCGACCGAACGATAGAGGTTAATCGTTCCTGGAAGATAACAAACATAACAGGCTCGAGGTCGGGAAAGAAAACAATAGATGTGTACGACAGAGCAACCGTGACAGTGCGTGGCAGACGTTAGAACTTTTTGCCGATGTGAAAAAAACGAACTGTTGCCCTTGGCTACATGTGATTAAAAATAAGGTAATGAATTTCTTCATGCAAGCAAAAAGTGCAAATTGTCTTTTTTGTAGAAAATTCTGGACGCAATTACGTAACGTAGTTTCATATCGCGATTGTTCATACATAAAAACTAAAATAATTATATATTTTTACGCATATACATAATAATATATACATATATATGATACGTATGTGTTATATGCAATTAAGTTATATAATAGGGATGACAAAAAAAGAAGATATGACATTCATTTTATCTGTATTTTTAGCAACGTTGAATTCAGTGCTTCAGTTAATCCAGTTCCTAGTTCGAGGCGACACGTTACCGGAGCCTCGATTTACCGTGGAAATTCACATAATAACGAATCATCCCCTTGTCGTATATCAAGTTCCTCTCTGACATCTTCCTGTCATACGATACACGAGTCCCGCCCAAGGAGCACAATACACCAGAATCCAGCCCTTCGCATGTCCTCGATGATTTCCTACCTGGCAGGTGTTTCAATGAAGAAAGAAAGAAAGAGAAAAAAATATATCATTTCACGGAAACTACCCCGGAATGTCTCGATCGCAACGAAGAGACCTACATGTTTTTTTTTTTTTCCTTTTTATCAAACGATGAGTAAAATTCTCCAAAGACACGCACAAGCGGGGATGACGAGGAACGAGGAGCTCACTTCTGCACTCCGCGGACGTTTCAAAAGTCTCGAGGAAGGCAATTCCTCGAGGGAAATCCTCGAATTTACGATACGGCACTGTGACGGCCCGTTTCATTCGTATTCGTGCCAAGAGATGGCTGCACGGTGAATGGAAAAAGCCCGCGTAGCCCTATTAAAGGGGCGGCGCGCTGTAGCCCCGTAGCCCCGTTGCCCCGGCAAGGATTCATGGCTGGCACCGTGTAGTAGAGGTAGAGGCAAAAGAGGCAGACGCGATGATAGAGGTAGGAAGAATCGCTCGCACGCGAGAGAGAGGGAGAGCTAGATGGCACGGAGGACAGATAAGACGGAGTGAGAGAGAGAGAGAGAGAGAGAGAGAGAGAGAGAGAGAGAGAGAGAGAGAGAGAGAGAGAGAGAGAGAGAGAGAGAG